CATGATCAAATATAAACACTTCTGTGTTAGCATTTAAAGCCTTTTTATAGCTTATCCTTAATCTAGCTTTCCAGTCTTCTTACGCATTATTCCCTTTCAAAGGTCCAGTCAAACTCGCCTGCTGTTTGTGATCACTATAAAAAATTTATTTTTCATGTTACAATTATGTTGATAGGACTCCAACATGGAGTCATTTAGGCTAAGTGGTCCTAATGTCCATACAAGCATACAGGCAAAGACAGTTTGTACTCTTCCACTGTTCTGACCCATATTAAGTGCTAGGTGGATAATACTAGCAGCTTTTGATTGGATGGAACTCTCGATTTGCTTGCAGGGGGCTTGAGTCATCCTCTTTCTGCTACTTTAGAAAGCTAACTTAAAATTTGAAACTCAAAAGCTTATGGAAGTGATTGTTGAGAAATCAAAATAAACTAATAAAAAAAAAGAAAGTTAACTTAGTTTAGGATCCCCATAAAGAAACTCCCCCAAAATCTTACTCAAGCCTGGTATCGATCAGTAAGTGCCCCCCAGAAACTTTCCTACTGCATCTGGGTCTGATAAGGAACGCTCCCTCCTAAATCTGACATGGATGACCTGTTCTCAACTACGCTCATTCTTATGGTAAATAATTTCACCTCCTAAACTCCAACTTTGAGTGTATTTCCTTCCTGATACACAGGCCTTCCCCAATAGGGACAAACTTCTGTCTGTTTATGTTGCCACATAGCGTTACGTGTATATATGCTTTTGTTTGCTTGCTTGCTTTGTGGCATAATAAGCTCCTGTTTGTATCAGATTCCCAAGTACCAATTTCCTGAAATTCCTGAACCCAGTTTTTTGCTTTAACTGAAACTGAGGTGAAATAAAGGACTGTTCTTCATAAATGATTTACTATTGCCATACCTTTGCGTAACTGTGCCCTGTGCCTCCTTTCCTTCCAGGTTCAGCTCAGGTACCACCTACTAGATCGAAGCCTTTCCTGCTCCCCACAGATGCTAGTGCTTCCCCCCCCCAAATCACAATGTATTTAGTGTGTATATCCCTGCAGATATCCACATTGTCTCCAACAAGCTACACTGTAAGAGACTCGAGGACAGGGTTTTTGTCTTGTATCCATCTGCTTAGCATGGTATATGGCACATAACAGATACCTAATACTGATTGACTGATTTCTTTTCAACTATATTTAACTTTCAACAATATTTAAAATCTTCTTAAAAACTTGGCAAGTCATCGCCCAGACTTCGTGTCAATTTTCACAACTATTACATAAAGACTAGCAGTATATATTGCAAAGTAAACATAGAAAAAAACAGAAGCAAGGAAAAGTAGATGATTTTGGCAGAAGTAATTTAATTCATAGAATTGGTAGGAGTTCTTGGGTTGCCCAGTTTTCAGCCTAGCATTCAAATAAACAGAGTAATATTACTTTTTTCCATTAGACAGAGTCCAGGGTTCAAAAACACCCACTATTTGATACAGTGATTTCTGTTATCTTTCTTGCTTACAAGGATGCTTCCAAACCTGCACTAACTTTGTGCACTGATAGCTAGAAATGAGATTGGCTATCAAACTGGTAAAAAAAAAAAAGATATTCACTCATAACATTTTTAAATTGCATATAATAATAACTCATGCGATTTCTCAAAATTTCCTGGAGAACAAAAGTAGCATATTCCCAACAATGACTTGCACAGAGGAAGTGGTAATAAAAGATAGCATCCAAAAAAATGTATGTTCAAGAAAAGGAAGTGGGTTGGGCATGATAACAAATAGACTGTCTACATGCTCCAAAGGTACCCAAAGAACGTTTTAAAAGCAACACCTCTGGCGTAAGCTGGCTGGATCCTGTATGGAGAATTTGTGGGAGAAGAGAGGCAAGAACCACAGAAGATGGTATGGGTAGATTAAGACCAGCACCGGAAGAAGGAATCCCCACATCAATGATTAATGGCTACAATCTTGGAAATGTTTTTGCAGTAAATGACTAGGCATTTAAGATAATTATATATTGCGAAACACAGAACGTGACTGCTTTAGTGTCCATCACACCACTAGCATGGGGTAAGGCAACCAGGACAAAGGAGTGGTTGTTGTATAATCACTTAACCAGCACTGAAAGATTTCTTTCTTTTTTCGTATTCTAGGATTTAAAGTTGGCAGAGACCTCATACGCCTCTTGATTGTAAGATGAGGAAATGGAGAAGCATTTCAAATCACAGCTAGAGAAATGATCCTATCCAAGACAGGATCAGAGAATGCATATACTCCAAGGTGCTGTTCCTTTGTCAAATGAAGGGCTTGTACTAACAGATGATCTCTTTAAATACTTCCCAGCTGACATGCTGGCATTTCACTAAGTCTGTGACCGCAGATCTGCCACTGGACAGGATGCACAGAAGTGCTGAAGGGTTTTTGTGAGAGGGCCTAGGTACCCATCAGACATTTTAAACACAACATGTTCAAAGAACTCACTATCTTCCCCCCACAAACCTTCCCTGCTTCTGACATTCTCTATTTCTGTTGGGGGTACCATCTTCCTCCCAGTCACAGAAGTTTTCAGCTTCAATGCCAGTCTAGGCAACTTGCTCTGACTCACCCCACATCCACTCAGTTGCTAAATACTGTTGTTTCTGCTACCACATCTTTCCAATTTATCCCCTGTGCTTCATTCACACAGCCATCACCTCACTTAGGGCCTTGCTGCCACTCATCTGGACTGTTCTCATGTCCTGGTCGGACTCTTTGCTCTAGTTCTCTCCTCCCTCCAATCCATCCTCCGCACAGCTTCTAAAGGGATTTTCCTAAAGATAACTCTGATCATGTCACCCCCTAACCCCCAATAAACTCCAGTTTGCTAATACCTCTAAGATCAAGTATAAATTCCTGTGCTATGCATTTATACCTTACTCAATCTGATACCAATCTGCCTTTCAATATTATATGTCACTTCCTTTCGTGTATACTATAGCCCAGCCATACTAGCCTTCTTATTACTGTTCCTCATAGGCAAGACCACCTTCTGTTTCTATCTTCTTTTTCCACTGGCAATCATCAAACATCATTCAAGGCTCAGCTCAGCAAGGCTTAGCTCAGGCACCACCTTCTACATGAAGCATTTCTTCTTTCCCCAGCTTCCAGTGCCTTCTCCTAAAATTATCCTGGATATATTTTGTGTGTGTGTGTGTGTGTGTGTGTGTGTGCACTTATGTATATATTAATATTCACTGTCAATCTCCCCAACCTCCCACAAGAGGGCTGGGAACTGGCTTTTGTCTGTTATCTCAAGTGCATAGCACAGTTTCTGGCACACAGCAGGTGCTTAATACATGCTTACTTACTGACAGGAGCCAGAAGGGACCTCAGAGAACATCCAGTCTAATCCCTCACTTTAGAGACAGGAAACAGAGCCCCGAAGAAGTTAAATAACTTGACTACCGCCACACAAGGACAGCCAAGAATGGAACCAAATCTCTCCTCCAAGACTCGACTCAAACGCCGCCCTGGGTAGGTTTTCCAAGGCCTCCCCCCGCCCCGCGTTTGAAGCATCATGCTTACACACGCGCAAGTATGTACATGGTCATGCCATGACACGTATGTGTGGGCATACACTGTGCACGTGCTGCCCCCTCCGCCCCGTGACAGCCCCCAGGGGTCCGGGGCAGTCCCTTTGTCTACAAGGCCCGGCCCTCAGCCCAGTGCCCGGCACACAGTGGGCGCTTCAAGCAGGCGAGCCTGCCCGACCTCCGGACGCCGTGCGCGGGGCAAGGCGGTCCGAGCCTCGCCCCGCCGCCAGACTGGGCGTGCCCCGGCCCGGGCCCCCCTGCCGCCCCCGGCCTGGGGAGGGTCCAGTCGGGGCTCCCGGGCCCTCTCCGGGCCTCAGTTTCCTCTGCTGTCCAAGGAGCGGGTCTTGAAAGTCTCTTGCAGTTCCAGAACGAGGACCCTGCGGACTTGTCATGTCACCCCGCCCGGCCCCGCGGCCCCGGCTGACCCAGGCCCCGCTCCCCTCCCCTCCCCCCGCGGCAGCTGGGGGGGGGGTGTGGTGGCGGCCCCCACGTTGCCATGACGACCAGGCTTGGAGGCTAGGCTTCCCCTTTTCCGTCGCACCCCAAGACCCCGGCCCCTCCTTACCCATGGCGGCGGGGGCGGCGGCAGCAGCTCTGCTTCGGGCTCTAGGAGCGGCTGGTCTCGCTTCCAGGCCCACAGCCACAGCCGCCGCCGCCACAGCGTCCCCGAGCGGGCGTGACGCGCGCGGGCCACAGCGCCCCCCTGCGGCCGGAGGAGCGCAGCGAGCCCGGGCCGGGGCACGGAGCTCGGAGGCAGACGCGCCGTGGGGGAAGGGCGAGACGGCGGCCCAACTGAGACCACAGGTGACAAGAGCGAGAGCGCCGGGGGAGGTGCCAAGGAAGAGGAGGAGGAGGGCCCCGCGCCAGGAGGGCGGAGCGACGCCAGAGGGGTGGGGGGTGAGGGGGAGAAGACGCATCCGACCATGCCCAGCACTACGTAAGGGGGCGGGGCGACGGGAGACGCCGACGGAAGAACCAGGCCGAGTCTAGACTAGGGGACGGGAACACAGAACCGAGACGCGATGTGGACGGAGCCACGCCCAGAGGGGCCAAAGAGGCGGGGCGAGGGAGCGGCCCGCAGGCTGAGCTCCGATTGGGCCTGGGGCGTGATTGGCGCCTCAAGCTCCCGGCTTGGCTCCGCCCTCCGCTCCCTCGGTTCCCCGCCTCCCGCCCAATTCAGTGCTACGTCAGACCTGCCGGGGGTTGCAGCCCGAGCCCGGGCCTCGAGGGGAGACCGGTAGCTAAGGGCCGGCCTGGGATGGGCCCGTGGGCGTGGGACTCCGGGCCCGCGGGCGGGAGGGCGTGGGCGAGGGTCGTGCAGCCCGGACCTGGGAGCCAGCGGGACGGCCTCCCTGCTTCCCCTCCTGCCTCCCTTCTTTCCTTCCAGAATTAAGGCGTGTTCTGGAATGGCAAATGCAGCACTAACGCCAGAGAGGTGGAAAACTAGAATTTATTTGGCACATTCTGACAAAAACAGGAGGTAGAGGCACCATTTTTACACACAAATGAACCTGTTAAAAATGCCTTACCAGTAAACGTGCATTGAAAGACGTTCAAATTTAAGTTAAGCCATATGGATCAAATAAATAACAAACACGAAACAACTGATTTTCACCACATTTTTACATAAAAGACACGGTACCTAATTTACCTAAATGAGGCTAGAAATATGTAAACATGAACAGAATAAAACATGTAGACACTTTTTCTACTTGGTCTAAACAGTAAGTTTAACTCTGAAAATAAGGGTAAATCTAATATTCTGTTCCCTATTAAAATTCATTGGAAACAACTTTAAATTCAGTAATGTATCTAACATGTTCAAACTTGAAACAAGAGCAAAATGTCCAGGATTGGAACTGTGAGACCAACCCCCCCCCCAAAAAAAGATAAGTAAAATAAAATTAGCACCCTGGAAAGACTGCCATCCTTTATGGAAGGGATTTGGATTACAGACTTATAAAAAGAACCAAAAACTTGGTCTTACTGCCACACGAATATCAATTATGACATGAATAAACCTAATTCCCTAGATAGTCTTTTAAAAAATCCAATTTTTTTTCTCGTAAATAACCAGGCATTAAATCCACAAGGCTAATGTAGGTCCTAAAATTCTTAACTTTCCAGAAATGCATCTATTTTCAAAGCAAAGGGGGGGGAAATCAAGTCTCCTTTTCTAATACCATATTTTTAAAAAGTTTACTTAAACTACAAAGTCTTAATACTTCATAGTTCTAGGGCTCACAACAAGAATTCTGTACCAAGTTAAATCTTTTATAAATTTAGAACAAAGTTAGAAAGAAGAAGATCCTGGATAGGCATTTAATACCATTTGAGCCAAATCTCATTTAGTGTATTAATTAGTTTGGATTCTTAGGAAGATGTTAGAAAGGCTAACATTTCATCCAATTTAGAAAATCCACATAAAATTATTAACCATAGGCACTTGGCTATTTAAATATTAGAATGCAGAGTGTAAAAGAGGTTCTCAAGTCTTGAAAAAGCAGCTGAAATGGTGTTTTCACCTTCGAAGTCATCACACATTATGTTGACAAATACTTTCATGTGCTCCCAAAGGAAGATCGAAAATGTAAAGCTGTTAAGGAAAATACAATTCATATCATGTGTCCCCACAGACAGTGTGTGACTGGATATTTAAGGACATTATACTTTAATGGTTTATGGCACAAGTCCATATATAATACTGCTAAAACAACTGTAAGGATTTTTCATTTAAGCAGAAAGCTATGTCTTTGCCAAAGAGCTTTATTATTCTTTTAAAAAAGGTCATCTCCTGCCATAAAAATCATGACTTAGCCCTGCCTCATGCTCTGTTTATAGAATGCCAGGTCCCAGAGTGAACAAGGCTATAGTTTGTAGCATGAATGAGAAAGGAAGTGAGGAGCAACCTGCCTAAGTAAGAAATTATGTCCCTTTCCCCACATCTCTTACCTTATCGACCATTACTTAGGGGCAGCTAGGTGGTGCAATGCATTGGGCCTGGAGTCAGAAAGCCCCGAGTTCAAACCCAGTCTCAGACATTTACTAGCTATGAGAAACTGAGAGTCACTGAAGTTTCTGTTTGCCTCAATCTCTTCATCTGTAAAGTGGGGTTAACAGACCTACCTCCCAGGGCTGCTGTGAGGATCAAATGAGGTCATGTTTGTAAAGTGCTTAGCACAGGCTCTGGCACATAGTAAGTGCTACAGGTGAGCTATTATTATTAATTATTCCTGGCCTCCTCCTTTAATATTTCTTCTTCCCCTTTCTTTTATTTGTCCACTTCTCTCAATCCACTAGCCACAGAACAGGATAGGTGCAATGCCCAGGAGCTCAGAGAGGTGACAAGGACAGCGAACATACGCCTTGCTTTGTGGCTCAGCTCCAATCTTTCATCAGCCTGGTGTGCAACCCTGGGTAAATGACAACTTCTCCAAGCCTTAAGTTTCTCACCGACATGATAAAGACAATAATCCTTGCACCATATTCTCACAGTTGTCGTTAGGAACTGATAAGCGCACATCCAGGGCCTGGTAAAATACATAAATAGAAAGCCTGATGCTCAGGAAGCAGTACAGGGTAGTGGAAAGCAACCTGGCCTGGAAGGGAGTGGGGCCTGTTGGATCTGGGCTCTGATACTGCCTGGGGGACCGTGGGCAAATAAGCTCCTTCCATCTCCCTGAACCTCAGTTCCCTCACCTGCTAAGTGGGAAAACCACTTTTCCCAAGGACATCATGGAGTCTCTACGAGGAAGGCATCTTCTTAAATCTTTGAGCACAGGACAAACAGGGGTTGTTATGAGAAACACCAGGACATAATGGCCAGAGTCACCCTTAGAGTCAAGAGGACTGGAAGTTAAAAGATGGATGACTGTGTCATCCTGAGCAAGTCACATGAACCTGTTAGCTTTGTTGTCTTCACTGGTTGTTGCAAGGAGGGGAATTTATAAACTGAAATATTATATCATGCCCATATCAAGAAAATCATATCACTTAAAGTGAAGGCTCTCTCGTGAGCAACTAGACACAAAAAAAAGGATATCTTGTTTTCTGACTTGAGATAATGAAGCAGCTTCTCCACAGGAGGATAGCGGCTCAGGGACGGCACACAGCCCAGCAACACCAGCTTGTGTTTGGCTCTTGTGATGGCAACATTAAGGCGCCTCCAATCCTTTAAAAGCTCACCAAGCTGTAGCAACAAAGATGATTACAAATTTTGTCTTAGGTTTTCAGAATTCAGTTAAATTCAGAGTTTGAAGAACAACAATTAACACATTATGAATTTCAGAAAGAGACACAATTGGCCCATACTGCAAATACGACAATTAGATAGAAGAGATGATGCTCTGGGTATAATTTTCAAATATGGGCAGTGCCAAATAAAATAAAAAATTAAATCAAGGAATAATGGACACAACTAATTTACTAGTTGTAAAATAATGTTAACAATTTAAGAAAATGCTTCTCATATACATATCAGCACAAACAAAATTCACTCACAGTTCCATCTTTATTACTTCTAACAAAAGATACTAGAATGATGCTTTTATCCCTTCCTTGATATTTGTCCACAGTATTAACTTCTACTGTACTGACGGAGGAACGAGTCAGCAAAGCGGTGATGGTTTTTAGCTGCTGTCTGTATGGAGCAATGACACCAATGTCCAAGGGATTACAACCTGCCTAAAAGGAAAAAAACATACGATAACCTGAAAATCATGACTCTTCCTCAATAATTTGACTAAAACGTCCACAAATTTGAAGACTTTCATGGTACACCTAAAGGAATAAATGACCCCGTTTTTTTCAAGAAGTGAGCACCACAATGATCCTTGATTCTCATTTGTTCCAAAGCAAGACCACTATTTCCCAGGATGAGACTAAAGTCTCACAAGCAGGTTGTTCTTCAATCCATGGCAAAATCATAAATTTGTTTTTTAAACCTCTTTACTAAATACAACATTTTAAACTGATGTCTATTATTTCTACATCAGAGATTTCTAAATATATCCTTCCCAACCCCCCACTATGAGTGCTCTCTCAGAAAGAAAAGACTTAAGCAAAACCAATCACAACAACGGAGTTTCATTGCAGATGCGACATCTTATACCCACAGTTTCTCGCCCCCATACCCCTCCAGTGGCAGACACATTTCTCTATAGAAAGGGGAAGGATATGTTTGATGCTGTCTTCTCCAAGACCACCATTGGTCATGACAATCACTCTAATTTGGGCTTCGTTTTAGCATTCTTTTGTTTTTCCTATATTGTTATGGTCATTATATCTCTAGCATATTTTATTAAAAGGATGATTTGTGACCACTTAGAAAGGGAAGCAACAGTCATTCTGAGCCTGTATGGGTTCTTTACAAGTTACACCACAGTAACCACGTATCTTTATTTTGAAAGGGTTACTAGCTTGATAAATCAGGGGAACAGTAAAGAAACAGTAGACTGAAATTTCAGCAAGACATACATGTGACTGATTTAGATATAAAGGCTGATACTATAAGCAAACTGGAAGAGCAAGGAATAGTATACCTATCAGATTTATGGAGAAGAATTCATGACCAAATAGGAGATAGAGAACATTACAAAATGCAAAATAGATAATTTTGATTACATTAAATTGAAAAGTTTTTGCACAGACAAAACCAATGCAAACAAGATTAGAAGGAAAGTAGAAAATTGGGGAAGAATTTTTACAACCAGTATCTCTGATAAGGGCCTCATTTCTAAAATATGTAGAGAATTAAGTCAAACTTACAAGAATACAAGTCATTCCCCAATTGATAAATGGTCAAAGGATATGAACAGGCAGTTCTCAGATGAAGAAATTAAAGCCATCTAGAGTCATATGAAAAAATGCTCCAATCACTACTGATTAGAGAAATGCAAATCAAAACAACTCTGAGATATCACATCACACTATCAGATTGGCCAACATGACAAAACAGGAAAATGATAAATGTTAGAAAAGATATGGAAAAATTGAAACACTAATGCGTTGTTGGTGTAGTTGTGAAATGATCCAACCATTCTGGAGAACAATTTGGAACTATGCCCAAAGGATTATAAAAATGTGCATACCCTTTGACCCAGCAATAGCACTTCTAGGGCTGTATCCCAAAGAGATCATACAAATGGGGAAATGACTCCTATGTACAAAAATATTTATAGGAGCTCTTTCTGTGGTGGCAAAGAATTGGAAATTAAAAGGATGCCCATCAATTGGGGAATGGCTGAACAAGTTGTGGTATATGAATGTAATGGAATACTATTGTGCTATAAGAAATGATGAGCAAGCAGGCTTCAGAAAATCCTGGAAAGACTTGTATGGACTGATGCTGAGTGAAGTGAGCAAAACCAGGAGAACATTGTACACAGTAAGAGCAACATTGTGTGATGACTGACATTGATAGACTTAGCCCTTCTCAGCAATGCAAGGATCTCCAAAAGTCTCATGATGGAAAATGCTATCCACATCCAGAGAAAGAACTATGGAGTTTGAATGCAGATCGAAGCATACTCTTTGCTATTTTTTTTCTTCTGTTTTGTTTTGTTTCTTCTTTCTGATGGTTCCTCCTGTTGGTTCTAATTCTTCCTTACAACATGACTAATGTGAAAATACGTTTAATAGGAATGTATATGTAGAGCCTATATCAGACTGCAGGCCGTCTTGGGGAGGGAGGCAGAGAAAAACTTAAAACTAAAAAGCTTATGAAAGTCATTGTTGATAAATCAAAATAAATTAATAAAAACAACAACAACAACAACAAAAGACATGCATGTGACAAAATCACTCCCTGTATCCCTGCGAATAAGATGAAAAGACATGACCTGAATGACAGTACATAGTTAGGTGGATTCGGAGTTAATTAAACAACTGAATCCAAAAAGTGGAGATTAAAGAACCAATATTATCCTAGGCCAGGGGTGGGGAACCTGTGGCCTCAAGGGTACATGTGGCCCTCTAGGTCCTCAAGTGCAGCCCTTTGACTGAATCCAAACTTGAGGACATCTCTAGTGGAGCACACAGGACTGCATTTTTTGGTCCTGTTCTGTTCAACAATTTCAATCAACTACTTCGATGAAGGCAAAAACAGCATACATCCCCAAATTAGCACATATTGCCAGATAAAAAAATAGTGCTCTTGCAAAGCCTCATTAAAAATACACTTTATTGGGGCAGCTAGGTGGCGCAGTGGATAGAGCACCGGCCCTGGAGTCAGGAAGATCTGAGTTCAAATCTGGCCTCAGACACATTAACACTTGCTAGCTGTGTGACTCTGGGCAAGTCAACCCCAATTGCCTCGCCAAAAAAAAAAAAAAAAAAAAAAAGACACTTTATTTTCTTGAAATTAGGACTACTCTGGAAAAATTCAAGGTCTATAGTGAATAGAGTCAGGAGACTTTGGTGTGAATCCAAGCTCTGCTTTAATTACTCTGATGACATTAGGCAAGTACTTTATCCTCTCTGGTTCATATTGTTTCTGTTTATAAAATGAGGAGCTTTGACTAGAACAGAGATTAACCTTTGTTATGTCCTGGATCACTCTGGCAGTCCACTGAAGCCTATGTACCCATTTCAGAATAATGTTTTTAAATGCATAAAATAAAATACCCAGGAAACCAATTATATTGAAATAGTTATCAAAAAATTTTAAATATTCTATAATAGTAAATATAATAATATTCTATAACATTAAATACAATATTAACATTATCAATACATTATAGATTATATATTTATATTAATATACTAACTATAACAATTATACTAATTATAATAATGTTATATAAGATTAAATAATATTTAAAAATTAATATAAAATAAAAAAATTTTATTTTAAAAAGTTCATTGACCCCAGAGTTAGGTCCCCTTAGCCAAAATGAGAGCTAAAGTTTCTCCCAGCTCCAAAATTCTATGATTCTGTGAAATTTCCAACCAGTACCTACCATACCTGGGACTGGCAATGTAACGTAACCTTATTTCTTAACCATAGATGACTATGCTTAATGGAAACTATACATATTTTAGATGAATTTTGTTAAAATTAAAACAAAACCTGCCATAACGATATTTTAACCTCAGCAAGCAAAATACATTTCAAAATACCTTTATAAAAATTGAGGCCAGGAAAACAATTAACTTGGCTTCTGTTATGTTACTCACACCGCCCTTTTCAGCCTGCTCTGGTGCTGGAACCTAAGAAAGAAAAGCAAACAACCAAAAACATGTAAAAAAAAATAACCTGAAGAGTAGATTCAACAACCTGCTATAAAATTACCTACAGAGATGCCAATGCACTGCGGGCTACTGCCCAAGTACTCATTCTCCAGATCTGCCCCACAATTCTTTGGCAGTTATGCCATGCTCATCAGGAAAACTGAGTTTTCAAGGTACCTTGACACCAGATATTGGTAATCCTGGCACTGGAAAGGTACATCCCTCAATGTGAATTAATACTTTGGCATTTTGGTTTGTAAATAAGCCTGTTATCAATTTCATTAAGTTGAAAAAATTACTCAGAGTCTGGTATCCTTTCAGTGACTATTAAGATAAGTTGGAAGAACTGGAGATAATTAGGCTAGAAAAGAGAGGACTCAGGGTAGACATAATAAGCTGTCTTTAGGTAATAACAATAATTATAATGATAATAGCTAACATTTATATAGCGCTTACTATATGCCAGGCATTGTGCTAAGCACTTACAAATATCTCATTTGATCCTCACAACAATCCTAGGAGGTAGGTACTATTCTTATCCCCATTTTACAGATGAGGAAGCTGAGGCTAACAGAGATTAAGTGACTTACCCAGGGTCACACAGCTGGTAAGTATATGAGGCTAGATTTGAACTCAACCTTCCTGACGCAAAGCCCAGTATTCTGTCTACTGTGGCACCTAGCTGCCCATACTACCTGGATATGTGACAACCTTTGAAACAGAAGAATATAGTGTAGATTTGTTCTGCTTGGCCCCAGAGGGAAGAATCAGGAGTAATGGTATGGAAGGTACGGAGAAGTAGACTTTGTAGACATACAGAAAAGCTTGCTAACAAGGGATGACAAGCAGTGTGGTGAATGGAAAGGGGACTGGGTTTGAAGTTAAAAGACCTAGATTCAAATCCCAGCTCTGCTACACGCTGCCGGTGTAGCCTTAAGCCAGTCACTTTCCTCTCTGGGTCTCAGTTTCCATCTTTAAAATGAGGGGCTAGGACAAGATGACTTGTGGGGCTCTTTCCAGCTCTAAATCTCTGTTCCTCTAACAAGAGCTTTCCCCAAGTGGAACAAGGCTAGCCTAGGAGGTAGCTGGTTCCTCCTGCCAAGTTTGATGACCACTTGGCAGGTATATTGTGTAAGAAATTCTGATTCAAGCACAAGTTGGACTATAGGGCTTCGGAAATCTTTCCTTCCAATTCTGAGATTCTGTGGAATCAAAATCCTGAAAACTAAAGCTGAGAATCAAAAAACTGACCTTGACAAATCCACGAAATTGCATGCTCCAGGAGATCCTGCAGGCGAGTTAGCTAGACCTACTCATCAGAATCCTAATAGATGATTTCTTATTTAGTACAATTACTTTAAAGCTAAACAAACAGAAATAATGGTTATCTAGACTTATACCTGAACTTTTCCAAGATCAATGTAGTCAGGACCCTTGCTATCCCTACTATGGTATAATCCTTCTAAAGAGCATAATAGGTTACTAATTTCCAGAGATATATACGAGCTCTCTATAAAGGCAACTTCAAAATGACTTTGAAACAGATTAAAAAGGGGCAGCTAGGTGGTGCAGTGGATAGAGCACCAGCCCTGGTGTCAGGAGGACCTGAGTACAAATTCAACCTCAGACACATAACACTGGGTGACCCTGTGCAAGTCATTTAACCCCAAATCTCTCTCACACACACACACACAAAAAGAGATTAAAGAAGAAATGAACAAATAGAGGCATGCTTTCCCAGCACACGATTAGGTTGAACAAATATAGTACAAATGTTGACGTTTCCCAAATTAATTTATAGAGATTTAAATAATATAACATAACATGTCTGGAGAGATACAATTTATTAAAAAAGTGACACTAAGATATTTACCTTTTCTGTGTTAAGAAAACAGACAGGATTCTTTGGTTCGAATGCCCCCCTCAGCCAAAAAGTTTCAGAATAATCTCTGTGAGCTTGGAGGTCCAGTATCACATCTTTCAGGTGGGGGAGGCTGACGGTGGCATTGGCTACTTTTTCTGATCCACACTCCAGTTTTCCTTCATACACGAGCTTATTACTTAAGGACATAACTGTGCTGAAAGGATTAGAAACAACATTATTAATTTTGGTAAATAAAATTTCATGGAAAAAATCAAATTTAACTAACACTGTGAACATTCATTAATTCAGTAAACACATTGAAGACCTACTCTTTCAAGAGCACGTTACTAGGAATTAGGGGAGATTCCAAGTTAAAATTAGATGCAATCACTCTCCTCATGAAGCTTGAAAGTACATAATAGAAGGATAAGACAGCAGGGCCCCAAACTAGAATATGTAGTGTTGTATGATAAGCAGATTAGAAAAAGGGCAGATCTCAGTTCTGTGATGTCATTATCCACCTGGGCAACAGGGAAGGCTTCCTGAGGAGGTGGCAAGTTGAACTGGGCTTTTAAAGAGGACCAAAAATTCAGCAGGTGAAAAGGGAGAGGAAGGCCATTCCATATCCCAAGACAAGTCACGAAGAAGGGAGAAAGTTAAGTCTTAAAGAGTAAGCTAGGTTAGCTAGAACAGAGGAGATGTCAGGCTAGGTGTGGACTCAAGTGAAACCAGAAATCGAGAGACAGAGCGAGAAAGTGACAATAGGCAAGGGAAAAGAGGTCAAGAACAGGTTCAGTGTGAAGGAAAACGTCAGAGAGGTAGAGATACAGGAAGTTATTGTTGGAAAGTTTAATCTTAAAGTCTCAGATACTTGAGATGATGTAATTCTTAAAAATAGACAAATCTGAGGTGTGGCCATTACATCATGCAGAGAAAGCGGGTGGATTGAAGAAGGAAACATGAATGCTAATGTCCCCATGGACTATGACAGAAAATTGAGTAAAGAAAAAAACAGTGACTAAGGTCCTAAAGTCAGTGAGAAAATGGGTGAGTAACCTGGAAGGTAAGAACAACAAGGATATGGAGACAGATGAAGGTATAAAAAAGATTGAATGCATTCCCCAATTGATAGTCAAAGGATATGAACAGGCAGTTTTCAGATGAAGAAATTAAAGCTCTCTATAATCATACAAAAAATGCCCTAAATCACTACTGATTAGAGAAATGCTAATCAAAACAATTCACACCTATCAGATTGGCCAACATGACAAAACAGGAAAATGATAGATGCTGAACAAGATGCGGGAAAATTGGAACACTAATGCATTGGTGGTAGAGTTGTGAACTCATCCAACTATTCTGGAGAGCAATTTGGAACTATGCCCAAAGGAATATAAAAATGTGCATACCCTTTGACCCAGCAATAGCACTTCTAAGGCTATATTCCAAAAAGATCATACAAATGGGGAAAGGACCCACATGTACAAAAATATCTATAGCAGCTCTTTTTGTGGTGGCAAAGAATTGGAAATTGAGGGGATGCCCCTCAAATGGAGAATGGCTGAACAAGTTGTGGTATATGAATGTAATAGAATACTATTTGTTCCATAAGAAATGGTGAGCAGGCAGATTTCAGAAAAACCTAGGAAGACTTGTATGAACTGATGCTGAGTGAAGTGAGCAGAACCAGGAGAATGTTGTACACAGTAACAGCCACATTGTGTGATGACTGACTTTGACAGACTTAGCTGTCTTCAGCAATGCAAGGATCTAAATCAACACCAAAGGACTCATGATGGAAAATGCTATCCACATCCAGAGAGAGAACTATGGAGTCTGAATACAGATTGAAGCATACTATTTGCTCTTTTTTTTTCCTCCTGTTTTGTTTTGTTTCTTCTTTTTTTGTGGTTCCTCCTATTGGTTCTAATTCTTCTTTATAACATGACTAATGTGAAAATGTTTAATAAGAATGTATATAGGGGCAGGTAGGTGGCGCAGTGGATAGAGCACCGGCCCTGGATTCAGGAGGACCTGAGTTCAAATTCGGCTTCAGACACATAATACTTAGTAGCTGTGTGACCCTGGGCAAGTCACTTAACCCCATTGCCTAGCCACCCACCCCCCCAAAAAAGAATGTATATAAAATAGAGCCTATATCAGATTGCATGCTGTCTTGGGAAGGGGAGGGAAGCAGAGAAAATTTAAAACTCAAAATCTTAAGGAATTGAATGTGGAAAACTACAAATAAATTAATTAATTTAAAAAAAATTTGAATGGACCACAGGAAAAGAAAAGTTATTCAGCTCTCCCGGTAGAAGAACAATCTATAAATGGCAGTGGAGAGCAAGCCAGAAGATCTTGAAGAAAGACTCTTGAGTATTAGTTTTAAAGTTCACGGACAGAGAGGAGCTTCTTGAGGCTGCAGCTGGGATCTAAAGGGCTTGAGGGATAGGCTAAGATGGGAGAGCTGGGGGGAACCAAAGCTCATTAGAATAGGGATGTGGGTTCAGAGAGAGAAATACCTGTTCATTCTATACTGCACAGTCAACTGAACAACAGCATTCCGTTTCTGCTCCAGCCTCTTGAATAAACTTTCACTCATGCCAAGACCTCTATTATCAAATCAAATATATAAATCAGTGCACTGAACACTAAATTCCATGAGGGAAATCACACTTAGTGAAAATCCAGTGATCTCTGACCATGCATTTCTTACCTTGCTTCACTATTCAGCACAAGGGGAGGAAGCTGCAGGTGGTCTCCTACCAGTACAAACCTAGATGAAAAAAAGAGTGGGCCCAGGCATGCTGGCTGGCTAATCTGGGAAGCTTCATCCACAATACAAAAATCAAATCGTCTCCGGGAAAATATTGGGTGGTTTATTCCCATACATGTTGTTGCAACTATAGGCTAAAAATAAACAAGAAAAAATTATTTTAAAATACAATCTGACAGTAGTGTGTTGCATTTGGCTCCAGAAAAAAAAAACTAAATGCAAAGTAACAAGATTTTTTGTTTTTTGCTAGGCAATGGGGTTAAGTGGCTTGCCCAGGGTCACACAGCTAGTTAAGTGTCAAGTGTCAGAGGCCACATTTGAACTCAGGTCCTCCTGACTCCAAGGCTGGAGCTCTATGCATTGAGCCACCTAGCTGCCCCTCCATAAGCTTTTAAGTTGCCAAACTTTTCCCCTCTCCTTCCCCTTCACCCTCCCCAAGACATGGGGCAATCTGATATAGGCTCTACATATACATTCCTATTAAACATATTTTTACATTAGTCATGCCATAAAGAAGAATTAGAACCAATAGGAGGAACCACAAGAAAGAAGAAACAAAACAAAATAGAAGGAAAAAAAAGAGCAAATAGGATGCTTTGATCGGCATCCAGACTCCACAGTTCCCCCTCTGGATGTGCACAGCACTTTCCACCATGAGTCCCTTGGAGATGTCTTAGATCCTTGCATTGCTGAGAAGAGTGAAGTCTATCAAAGGTAGTAAGATAGTAAAAAATCTCTTCCCAAAATTTTATAAAATGCCAAATAAGGATTTCCAGGAAGATTTTTAAAAATCCCTTCTCTCTACGGCAGCACAAAAACAAAGTAATACATGTCACTGGGTGTGATTTTCATATGTTCAAATTCGCTTGCTTATTATGACGCCACAGAAGCAAATGTCAGCAATATCACGTCAGTATTCTGCTTACTTGACTGTTATAGAGCTCCTCCAGACCAGTTAAGGATTTAATAGCTTTTTCTCGGCAGATTTCCTCCTCTGTAAATTTCTGAATGCTGGGATGAACCTTCTGAGTTTGGCCCAAACGCAAAAATCCTACTTTAAATTTCATTAACTTCAAAAGAATGTTATCAACAGCAGAGTGAGTGTAACTGGTCAACAAAACGCTGAAGCCACAAACATAGAGGATCCTCACCTAAGAATGGGACAGGGGAAAAGAAAAAATTACCTTAAATTCCAGGTAATTCTTAATATACTCAAGAGAGTGAAGGAAAACAGGTTTCCATTAGAAAGCCAAACCACTGAATAAAGATAATCCAGTATTAACAATACTGGTAACATTATGTTCTTAAACTGTTAAACCTTTAATTTTCTACAAGATTACTTTAAGTTTGCCAACATAAGTAAAATCTAAGAAAGCTTACAATGCCCAGTGTCTAACCCTCAGTATAGTTTACCACTTGTATAGGGAAGAGGAACACATAAAACACACACAAGCCAGAGACTATGAAATGCAAAATGCAACAAATTTAGTACATGATGGCAACTATTTTGTCAGTTCAGGGTTATAATGTTGCTATCTCAAAATGAGAGAAAAAGCCATTTCGTAGAGATATTTTTCATTCACATTTGCTTCTCTAAGCGCGTCCTTTGAATTGAAAAGAGGCTGACAGAGACGTTATTTACAAGTAAAGATACAGATCCTTACGAGGGCACATATTGTTGTGGTTTTCCCAGTTCCAGGCATACCAACAATAAGCGTGTAGTCTTTTGAAAGAAGTACTTTTTTCATTGCTTGCCTCTGGGGTTTATTCAAACCTATATTTTAAAAATATTTCAGAAAAAAAATCATTAAAAAATATTTTAGAAGAAAAGATGGATTTTAAACAGGAAAGAAAGTATTGTTAGAACAATATTTTAGTTCTGACCCCCTCACAAACTATGATGCAGCTTCCTCCACCCGGAAGCGACTGTGGGCTCTCAAAGGCCGTACCACAGAAGCACAGGGGCTCACCAGGGCTCCCTTGAAAGAAAGGCTTTCGGGGTACCTCCCACAACTGACTGAGAAGCAGCAAGTTAAGAACAGAGAGGCTCAGCATCACTAGGCCAGCCACGGGGCGATGAATCCTTTGACCACGACCACCCACGAAACAGAGATGAATACAAGATGGCCTGCAGTCCCCTGCCCCCTCTGCCTCTGCAGTGATAAGTGAGACAAGAGCAGAAAAAGGGGCAGAGGGTGCCAAGAATCACAGGGTTTAAGCACATTACAAATACTGGCTCAGCTGCTGGTGACCTGACTGAGATCCTGCCTCAGTGATCAACAAGGAGTCATACTGTGGGAGGACGCGGAGCTGGGTCATGACAGACTCCAGCTGTGGCCAGCCCACAACAAGAAGGGGCAGCTAAGCAAGAGGGCCACTCACAGGCTCTCCCTGAAGATAAGCTACAGTGTCTGCACTGCAGGCAGCCTTGATGGAGCAATGAGAGCAAAGAGGCAGGCTGTGGCCAATTGGCCACACCAAGAAGTGAAAAGTACAGAAGAGAAGACACCTCACTGGGCTGACCGTTTGACCACAGAAAGGCACTGGATTTCGTGGAGCAAAACACAGCTGTAAAGGTTTTCCTCCTATGTGATCTCTCTTATGGAGATTCCTTGGGAGAGATTACAACAGGAGTAACTTCATTCAACAACCATTTGATTAATAACATCTGTTGAGGTATAAAAGTGCTAATCAGAGGTATTTGCCATGATCACGGAGGATGTCTAGAGCATAATCTAAATCCAAAGGGAGTACCATCTAAATGGGGAGGCCCTCCAGATGCTTCTAAGTCAGAAAGATATTGTGTTGATTGTATCCAGCCCAGAAACACTCCTGGAACCTCCTAAATGAGATTCACCATTACTCAAAAGGGACAGCCTAACTATCCACAAAGGAAAAACCAAGAGCGTGACGCGTTCTGATGTTCCAATATGTGCATTCAGACGGATGGACAACCCTTAGAGATGGTCCAGAAGTACATTCACGGTGGAAAGATGCTGCAGATGGACAATGGACTGAGGCTAGATAAGATTAGGAGGAAGACCACAGGCTCGACAGAATTTGGCAAATGGGGCAACGTTTTCAATTACCTCTAGCTTTTCTTTAAACAAAAACTCATCTTTATTTTAACTACCAATACTCTTCCAGGGATGCTGAATAGCTAAATAGTATAGAATACTAGAATCTTTGAATAACCAAAGAAATCTATGTGTGGAATAGGGATTTGGCCAATCATATAGCACCAACAAGGGCCAACTGGTGGATATGGCACAGAGCTGCAATAGTATTCACACAAAGGCAACAGATGTAGAGGAACAGCTGAACAGCTAACATTTACATAGTACTTCCTTCAGGCACTGTGCTAAGCACTTTGATCCTTATAACAGCCTTGGGAGGAAGGTATTATCATTATCCCCATTTTACAGGTGAGAAAACTGAGGCAAACAGAGGTTAAGTGACTTGCCCAGGGTCACACAGCTAATAAGTGCATGAGTCTGAATTTGCACTCAGATCTTCCTGACTCCAAGCCTGGCACTCTATCTACTGTGCCACCTAGCTGCCTCTCTGCCCCCAAACCCTTGATGTGATCTCTCTCTGAAAGATTTAAAGAAGGTCATGAGCAGCAATGGGTATGATCTACTCTACTGGTGGGAGTATCTCATCTACTGATGACTGGTCAAACAGAGGCTATGTTACAGTTTTAATAGTAAGTAGAACAAACAGAAATGAATAAAAAATAACCCCAACTATAGATTCTACCTTTTAAAATGTGGGCAACTCTATCCTTTGCTTCATGTGGAAGCACAGAACTCAGGTACTCTATAAACTGTGGTTCACGGAAGTCAATGATTAAATCTCGAAGCTTTTCACTGGGAAGAAGAAAAGTTGTTTTACTACAGTGTTCTCAAAAAGCCTGCTGAAATGCTGAGTTACGTACTGCTACCTACCTGGTAGGGGTGTTTTCCATCAGTTTAGAAAGGTTTCCTAGCGGAGTTTCAATACCACCAATTCTTTCTTCATAGTCTAATCTAAACAAAGTTGACTCAGGTAATTTTGACAAATTCCTGAAACAAAATAAAATGCACATATAGAAAAACATTCTTCATTTAGAAGATACCAATTTAAGCCAAACATAGGCAGTAAACAACTAGTTAAAATGATAATTCTGAACATGGAGTTCAGAATTAACCACTGTTTAAAACATAGGAAAGATGGGCTCCTGGATGCAGCTAACAGAGGGACATAAAAATGTATTTGCTGGTAGTCTTGAAAATTGAATTAAAGGGCTTTCACCTGGAAAGGAAGAGAACTGCTTCTATATATTCCCCAAGCTAATCCCATCCAGAGTAGCCATAATGTAGAAAGAACGGTAATAGAAGCATGAAGAAGGTCACAGGAGACAAAATTCATGAAAGCCCTCAAACTAATCCATGGCCTCAGCTGTCCACTCGAAATGCAGAACCAAGCAAGAAGAAATAGAGACTATAACACAACCTATGTATCACTGGAGAAGCAGTAGGCTGTAATGGATAGAGGAGGGTCTTGTAGGCAGGCCTAGGTTCAAGGCTGGCCAAGGACTGCCAAGTCCTGGCAGGGTGACCCCAAAGAGTTCATAACCTCTCGAGGCCCCCAGCCACTCTCTACCCAGAGCAGTAACTTTTCTGTGTTGGCTGAAGGAGGATGCTCACCAGGAGCTTCCAATATCGATGAAGCTACAGGAGCTAACTTTTTAATAAGTAGTAATAAGTTGGTTGCTACAGTGGACATGATGGGAACTTTGGGAGGATATGACAACTTCTTCGAGTCTGTGATAGAGTAGGAAAGGGAAGCTGAGAAGAGTTCATCATGCAGCCTTTATTTTGGAAAAGCAGATTTCAAAGGGTTCAGATAGAACACCCACTACTTGGTTGGACTCACATCTGGTCAGTGCACGTACATCCCTCCACACCTTCCTAACCTGTCTCATCCTTATACAAGGGTTCTTGGACTTCCTCCAATGAGGATCTAAACAAGGAAACGGAGGCCTTCCTTTTGTCTTTTCAATTATCTATTCAACTATTCAATCTTATCTCAATATTCAACCAATAGAGTCAACCAGGACATTTAGCCAAGACAGTCTAATTTGCAAAACAACTTTTAAAAATTTCTCTACCCCCTAGCTGTGTGACTCTAGGCAAGTCACTTAACCCCATTGCCCAACCCAAAAAAAAAATTTCTCTACCCCCATTACTTAAATATTTTTATTGATCCTTCAAAAACAAAAGAAATGGATTCACCTGTCTAGTAAACAGGTGACAGTGGTCATGCTGATCTCTTTCACATATCCACTACTTAAAGCAAGCAACCTTCTTTCTTCTCCACTTAGAACGACTCTGTCTCCCACCATGAGGTTTGTATTAGGTATTGTACCATGTTTATGCTGGAAGGTATGTAAATATTGTCCACTACAAATAGTCTGGACATCTTCAGTCCTAATCAGATTTCCAATGCAGTCGCCATGCTTCTCCCTAATAATATGAAAAAACATACAAGAAAACCTCTTGTTAATATCATCACATTCATGTCTTCCCACCACTGCATCTTTTTTTTTCCTCCTGGACCTATCAGACTTATGCTAAGGTACCAAATTCATGAAATTTCTATCACATTTCAGATTTTCTACACTCATGTTTCATAAGAATGTTATGTATCTACACCTTTTGTTATGTAATTAACCCTAGAGAGCTGGTTCAAGCCACATATACCCTAAAGGGCTCTGTCTGGTGATAGCAAGAGTCAAGGCCTCTCTTTCCTCCCCCACAAGAAAGTCCCAAGTACGAAGTCCTGAAAACCTCAAGGTGGGAACCTTGAAAAATGCAGTGAGTCCAACATATAGGAGATCCCAGGTCACTAGAACGCTGTCCTAAGACACCATAAAGGGCCTTGAAGATCCAGTGCTCCTAACCTGGAAGGATGCTTCACATAGGAGAACTGAGTTAGCACAGAAAGCCACGTGGCCCAGATGAAGACTAAGCAGTGCTGACCATCCCAGACAAAAGCATAGCGGAGAATGGCTCTGTCACAGAACTACGATTCAGGTACTAAGTAAAACTGGAGAGATGAGTCAATCAAAGATATACCAGTATATTTTATACCAGTATAAACAATTACAGTAGAACTAGAGACCCCCCAAAGGAGAGAAAAACTCGAAGATCCAAAGAAAAAAATGATTTTTCCACAAGGACTACAGAAAGAAAGCAAGAGATAAAAAAGAAAACATTGGAAGAAAAAATTGGAAGGAGAATAAATAGCTTAGAAATTAATAAACCTTTCCCAAGTAAGGTACTCTCTGAAAACTAGAATAGACCAGAAAGAAATTATGACTTCATGAGATAGCAAGAAATATTAGAACAAAATCGAAAGACTGGAAAAAAAAAGAAAAAAGAAGGTATCCAATATAAAAAAAAACTTAAGTTCTCATGAAGAAAACTTAAGAATTACTGGATTTCCTGAAAAGCATATCTTTTTTTTTTTTTTACAAAGCACAGACACTGTATTTCTAAATAGCATCAATGAAAACTGCCCAAATCCATCAGAATCAGAGGGCAAAATGAAGATAGAATCTACCTATAACATCCTGAAAAAAAAAACAAAAACAAAAACAAAGAAAACATCCCAAGGAGGGGCAGTTAGGTGGTGCAGTGGATACAGCACTGGCCCTGGAGTCAAGAGGACCTGAGTTCAAATCCAGCCTCAGACACTTACTAGCTAGCTGTGTGACCCTGGGCAAGTCATTTAACCCCCACTGCCTCCAAAACAAACAAACAAACAAACAAAGAAAACACCCCAAGGAATGTTACTGCCAAAATCCAGAGCTCACTTAAAAGAAAAACACTGAATGCATCCAGGAAAAAGCAGATTAAGCACCAAAGAACCACAGTCAGGATAACCTGAGACCTTGTGGCTTCTATTATAAAGGGAGAGATCTTAGAACAGAATATTCCTAATGGCAAAAAATACAGGCTGACAACCATGAATAATTTACTATGCAAAGTTGAGCAGAAGCCTACAGGAAGAAAAAATGGACCTTTCATAAAACAAAGGACTTGGAAATATTTCAGTTGAAAAGACCTGAGCTGCGTAGCAACATCCAAGGGTAAGAACAACAGAGGCCCTGGAGAAGATTGAATGGTTCCGTCCTGATGGCTGGAAGAGAGGAAAGAGAAGGGAGAGAAAAGTAGGAAGACACAATATCACAGAAAAGAGAAAAAGTAGGGTGGGGTGGGTGGGTGGGTGGGAAGGGAATTTGCTATTTGTCTTAACTGGGTTGCTGAGAAAGAGAGTACAAACACGGAGGAAGGGATGGGGGAGAGGGCAGCAGGTGAACCTCCCTCTTGTCTGAACCAGACAAAGGAGTGCGCACACTCACACTCACTCACTCACACACACACACACACACACACACACACACACACACACACATACTCTCTCTCTCTGTGTGGTATAGAAATACATTGAATTCAATAGGAAAAGGAGGGAGATTAATAATGGGGAATTGCAAGTAAAATAAACTTCCTGATCTGGAAGGGGGAATTAAAAGGAAAAAAAAAAACAAACAAACTAGAATCCCAAGGGATGCCCAACAATTGGGGAATGGCTGAACAAATTGTGTGTAGGAATGTAACAGCATTAATGCTAAGAAACAATGGAAGAGAAGATTTCAGAGCATCCTGGGGCCTATGAAATGAGGCAGAGTAAACCAGGAGAACAATGTGTACCAGGACAACACGGTAGAGAAACACAGCTTCAAGTGCCTTAAGCCCTGGGATCAGTGCAATGACCAAACATAACTTTTATGAAACACATTCTTCCTAACAGCTCCTATTGGCTTGAGGAGCATTTAGAGATGAGCATTTTGGACACAAACACTGTTTTGCTTGGTCATGATTATGCATTACAAGGTTATCTTGATTTTTTTAACTAGTGGAGAGGAGTGGGACACAAATGGGGTTAACAATAAGAATGGGGGAAATAAGAGGGCCACGAGAACAGAAGGCAGTTCAAAAGGAAGCACAGACAAACAGGACAATTTTGAAAGCAATGCATAGCGGCCAATGTGGTCATTTATTTTGCTTGGCTGCTCTCTCAGTGAGGGAGAGAGAAGTGGGAGGCAAAGAAGAGAAAGGCAAAGAGAAAAAGAAATTTATTTAAAAAAAAGCAACATGTTAAATTTATTATATACTGTTTAAAAAAAGTAAGGGAAGTAAGAACAATGAAATGGAAATGGATGGCGTCATACACAGTCCTCTGATTTCTGCTGCATAATATGGAAATGGCCTTTTCGATGTTTAAGTTCAGAATAAAAAACATTAATTTTTAAAAAAGAAAAAACCTTAAAGAGTCATCACATTACACCGTTTTACCTTCTTTTGTGGTGCTAGAAGGGAGATCTTAGAAGTCTTCCAGTAGAAGCCTAGAGAGAAGAGTATCTATAGAGTGTTAAAAATGTTTAATGCCTTGAGAGAGACCTTCTGGGCCTGTCACAAAATTGAGAATGCAGTCATTATCACCTCTTTTTCTCAAGAAGCTCTACTGCCTCTGAAAGATTTAAGAAATACGATAAATTAAATAACCAACCACTACCCCAGAGGCCCAATAATGAAGCACACTAATCACTCTTCTCCTGACAGAGTTGACGATCTCAAGGTATACTCGCTTCCAGGATCAAGTATAAAATCTTCTGCCTGGCCTTCAAAGCCCTTCCCAACCTGCTCCCCTTTTACATTTCCAGCCTTCTTACTATTGCCCTCTGCATTCTCTGTGATCTAATGTCATCAGCCTCCATGCTGGACCTCTCAAGTGCAACGTCACATCTAGCCCAACCTGGAGCATCTTCCCTGGCTGGCCAGAATGCTCTCTTGACTCACCTCCACCTCCAGATTTCCCTAGCTTCCTTCAAGTCTTAACTAAAGTCCCACCTTTATTTAGTTTAAAATGTTTGATGGTGGCTAATTTTCTCAGAATGTGCCCCAACAGCATTTCAAGTTATTTATAAAGAGTGATTCTTATGGAAAAAGGCAAATGCCAAAATGCACATTTAGAAAACAGGCCATCCAATGAATAGGAAAGTGAGGGGTCGCCCATCAACTGGAGCCAGGATGAACAAACTGGAGCATATGACTGAGATGGAATACTACTGTGCTATAAGAAATGACGAGCAGGGTGGCTTCAGAAAAACCTGGGAAGTCTTCTACAAACAGATACAAAATGAGGAAAGCAGAAGCTGAATGTTATACTCAGCAACAGCAACATTGTAACAACCAGCTGTGGAAGCCTTAGCTACTCTGATCAATACAATGATCCAAGACAATTCCAAAGGACCCACGATGAAAAGTTATCCACCTCCAAAGACAGAACTCATGAACTAGGGGTGCACACTGAAGCACACTTTTCTACTTTATTTTTCTTGGGTTTTAAGTGTGTGAGTGTATGTGTGTTTTCTTTTGTAACATGGCTAATATGGAAATATATTTACATACATTTACATACATAATCAGTATCATATTGCTTGCCTTCTCAATGGGTGGGGTTGGGGCTAGAGGAAGAGAATTTAAAACTCACAGTTTTCATAAATGTAAAAAAATTTTTTTACGTGTAACAAATAAATAATATAATAAAAATTTAAAAAGAAAATAGGCCATTAAACATATCAAAAGAATCTTAGCAGTATTTTTTTTTTGTGGTATCAAAGACTGGTATCAAAGCAAGTGCCTTTCAAAGAGGGAATGCTGAACAAATTGTGACATGGGAATATAATAGAATTTTATTGTTCCACAGGAAATGAAGATGAAGTCAGGGAAACTCAGGAAGACTTTTACAAATGTATAAAATAAAATGCATAGGATTACAAAGGGATCAAAGAGTACTGAGATACAGTGATCCAAATATTAAAAAACCAAGCCCACAGACCCTCAGTGAAGAGCCCTGCACTGGTCCTGTTAACACTTCCTTGGTATCAGCGCAGTGGCCGGACTTGACTCTCTTTTTCCCCAAGCTCTCACTACAGAGTGAGCCCAAGCAGGCCATTGTTAGACACGTGCCACAACTTTACTTATGTTTACTATTGCCTTGATGAAACCCATGATTATGCACAAGAGTCTGGCTTAAATGGCCACATAAAAATCGAATGCATGCACAATGACTCCTGTCCAGATGTGCCACTGGATGACCGGCCCACTGGGCCCATATCAGCACCTATTTCTAGGTCTGGGACTGCAGATTAACAATGAGCAAGAGCCAGAGTAGAAAAGAAGCGATAGAAGGGGTCTAGACTGCATTTCATAAAATACGGCTATGATCCCAAGCTGCAGCTTGACCCAAGAAATCATCTTTTTATCATCAATGTTCACCTGGCGATACTGTGTGTAATCTGGGGGTGACAGTCTTCAAAGAACCTCTAATTAAGGCTTTATTCTAATTCTGAAAGGCCTTCCAAGAACCCTGGAGATCAGCTACCAAACCCCCGCATCCTCCACACAACAGGACCACACAGGTATCATAAATAAGCAGCAGAGCCAGAATTGGAACCCAGGCTCCGAGCTCCTTCCACTAGACCAGATCCCGGACTCTACACAATAACGCGTCTAACAAAAGAAAAAGCTCTGCTTACCTTTCTGAGGCTGACATTAACCAGATGTTTCTGTGGCTCCTCTTGCTATCTTTTGACTGGGACTCCAGGGTCATCATTAGATACCAAAGGCTGAAATACTGGAGATGGGAATGCTTCAGGTGCTGCGTTGCCTTCTCTATTTTAGACAGCATGGTGTGGGGAATGAAGCTCTTGTCCATCTGTTGTTCGACCGCTCTAAATTCAAAACTCCGTGTCAGAAAGGTATTGGAGACAGGTCAGATTATGACATTAACTATCTCTGAAGTAAACGGAGATCGAGGGTGACTAGTGTAAATCGTTCTTCTCCTACTTTAGATAGTATTCAGCATTTTAAATAGACCCCAAAGGCTTTTGAAATATAAAATATATAAGAAGCTAATCCATACAGAACAGACGGTAGGCCGCAGTGACGGCAGAACTCAATCTATGAGATCACAGATCTGAAACAAATGGGGAGGGAGGCATCATTTTAATAAGCACAATAAATCCATCGAGGCCAATTCCCTCAACACTATTGAGCTGAACTCAATCTGTTACAAATTCGTGATAGCTCTTTGTATAGAGGAGGGAGGGATCTACATTGACATATAGATGCAGCTATATAGAAATAAAGTTGATATAAAAACAAATGTTATCAATATAAATTTTTAAAAAGCTATAACCCAAATTGAAACAATGTGAAACTCATTACCTGCTATAAAGAGCACAGTTGTCCATCTGTGAGCAATATTTACAGGTGTAACTATCATTAATGATTGGTGGCAAGTGTGCAAGCTGGGTTTGCTCCTTTCCTGCAGTAGATTTTGTGACACCATGGGACAAGTAGAATGCCACCTGGTTTCTTAGCTTTAATAACTCTGTTTTTTTTAAAGAAGAGAAAAAAATGCATTAAATTCAGTTTAATTTGATTTAACCATCATACATACTTTGTGACCACCAGGTATTATATATAAGCACAAATACGATTATAAGGCAGCCAGGTGGTGTAGTAAATATAGCAATGAACCTGAAGTCAGGAACACCTAAGTTCAAATCCAGTCTCAGACACTTATTAGCTGCATGGCCCTGGGCAAGTTGCTTAACCTCTGTCTGCCTCAGTTTTCTCATCTGCAAAATGGGGATAATAATACCATCTACCTCACAGGGTTGTTGTGAGGAACAAATGAGATATATGTAAAGTGCTTAGCACAGTGCCTGGAACATAGTAGGTGATTAATAAAGGCTTATTTCCTTCCTTCCTACATTTTAGTGGCTACTATTTGAATTCAAAAAAAAAAATCACAGAATCACAGATTTAGAACTGGAAGGGACCTCAGATCACTGGATCAAACCACCTCATTTTACAGATCAGGAAACTGAGGCCTAATGAGGTCAGGTGACTTACCTAAGATCAAACAGTTAGGAGGGCTGGCTTTCAATCCAGTATTTCTTACTCAGGAATAGAATTCTAAAAGGTCAAGGTTAATGTTTTCCAAAATCTAAATACAAGACTTAAATAAGAAAAAAGTTTTGCCTGTCTTTTAACGTTTCTAACCACAAATGAGAGACGTGACATTTCATCATGCCCTACAACAGTACTGAGGGAGTTTTCCAAGTACAGTATGTCAAGGAAGGGTCAGAAACTTTTATAATGTTAACAGTGAAAAGAACAAGGATAAATTGGGCGGCCCTCACCTCTCCTGTCAAGACGTCTGGCTGGCACGGGGTACATGGTACCAGTCCGGAGGTAGAGAAGCAATCCGGCTTCAGGATCAGCCCTTCTTTCCTGGCTTAGTAGTGTATAGAGAACAACCTACAAATCATTTTAAAATTGCATAAAATAATAGAAACAAATACTGATGAAGGTAAGTGGGGCTTCCTAATAGCAAATATTTTCTTCCTACTCAAACATCAATATCCCTCTCAATTTTGCTTTCACGTTGAAGAAACATCTCAATTGCCAACCACTTAAAAGCAAATATATCCTAGTTTTTATGTTTTTATCCAGAGTTTATGAGGTCAGAATTTGTTAGGGTCTTATTTTTCCCCCTGACAGACTACTATTATATGCATTAAAAGTTAAATGCATGGAATATTGGTCAGGATTACCATGCAGAACAAATACAGTCAGTCCCTAGTTTAGGAATAGGTTCTACCACCAAAGTTCACTTGTAAACCTCTTGTTTGAAATCAGAAAAGCATTTTCCCATAGAAGCCATCTTATATTTGCTTCTATGTGGTATAGAGGTTCCCAATTTGACTGATAATGCATTTGTAATATCATGTTAATTAAACTACAGAACTTAACCACAGTGGGATTCTGTTGGAAAATGCCTTCAAAATTCCAAGCTGGAACTCACAGGAGATTCCCTCTAGCTGGGCTATGCCAGAATTGGGGTTCCTACTCATCTGCTTTGGCCCGCTTCTCCATCCTGCCAGGAAATGAGGAGTGCCTCTGCTCCAGGCTATTATTAGGTGTGTCAGCCACAGCAAGGGGACCAACAGGGTGGGTGCTTTGGGTGCCAAGCAGCAAGGAGTTATGGGGGAAAGACCAAGGGTTCTTGTTAGGGTAACCCCCGAGGGCCATAGCTTCCTCCTGGCCAGATGCTTTTCAGCTCATTTCCTTCCTGATTCAGGCCCTCGGTGTTAGTCAGCCCATCTGCTTCCTTTCCTAATGCTACTACCTGTTTCTTCTGACCAAGATTTCTCCCCCTGGCTGTCTGCATGAAAGAATGAACCTCACTTTTTACAACTAGTAAACAAAGAACAAAGAGACAGTACAGTAAGTTCACAGGCTCTTGTGCCTCGCCCCAACCTTCACTTTCTCCTCCCCCCCACAAATTCCATGAAGAAACTAAATCATTGAAATAAAAACTCAGCCTACCCAGATCATTCCATGACAAGAGATACTGCCAGGAGGGGAAGAAGAGTCTGGGATAGGGTTTCTGGTAGGAACAGGATGGATTGGGGATGCTACCACTGAGACTTGGCCTAGAACAAGAGGAACCAATGACAGATGGGGAAGAAGGAGAAGGAGGGAGGGTAAGCAATTCCCTCCTCCCTCTATTTTTCTCTTGCCACAGCAGAAGCCATCCTATATGAGCCCTAAACAAGATCTGAACTGGGTGAGAGAGGCGGAAGATTCCAGCCAACACCTGGTGGAAGACAATGGGGAAGAAGGGGAAAAGGTGAGTCCCTGAGGCTACGGGCCATTCCTGAGTGACTACATGGAAGTCAGCCCGCAGGATGGCGTGAATGCCTGTAAACATAGGCCTAACACTACAGTTAGCATGCCTACACTCAGGCTAGGAATGCTTTTCCAGAATACCTGGTATCAATCATTTCAATGGGCCAATTAAGTATTCCTAATGACAGCTGAGTTGCAGTAAATCTATGTTAGTTTGAGAAAGCTATGAGGGACAAGATTAAGGAATTCAGAGCCACATATTTTTTAGGCAGCTCCCTAACATAAGCCAATGCTAAAGAAAGACTCTCATCAAAATGATCTTAATCTAATTTCATCATTTGTAGAACCTCTGTTTAAATCTACAAATGCAAATGCATAAACATATAGATCAAATTGAGAGCTATTAGTTACCTTTCATTTAAAGCATGATGATGAATGTTAATTTCAAAAAGATCCACGTTAATTGTAACACACAAATTACATTTGCAAACTGTTCTATTAGGTGAGTGCTAAAGGTTTTTGAAAAAAAAATATAAAGTTACATCTTACTGAAAAATTGCTATCCCACCAGATTAAAAAGTTAAGTTTGTTCTGTGCCCAGAGTACATTCAGTTAAGAAACAAAAGATTTCTTAAACTGACAAAGAAAGAGGATCCCAGAGATAAAGACTCTCCAAAGAAAATGTTAGTTCCAAGAGCCTTGCTATTTAAATCATTTCCAGGAATACTTAGGGTAAGTCAGCTGCCAAGATAGTAAGGAATGGAAAAAATTAGTATTGGAAAAAATAATATTCACACAGAGTTTGGTGTCTGAGCTTGATAAATTAAATTCATTTGAACATGGCAGGCTGTTGTGTTGTTAAATAAATTACATGTGAAACATTTTGTTGCATCGATTACTGGATATAATTCATACTTACTGGCAATGCTTTAACACAACTTTGGAATGATCCACATATAGATATAAATATGTATATATGTATAAATAACTACTTACACCCCATTCCACCACAATTCTTTCACCAACCTTCCCACCCAAACTGCCAGTCAGCCAACTCCCAAAGCCTGACAGATGGAGGGGAAGGGAGCTTGCTAAATATGATTTTGGAGGGCTCGTTAACTTAACCACCCATTATAATATTGTTTCTATGCAGAAAATGGGTTGCAAGTTCCAAATAATCAATTTAGAAATGGACTTTTGGCATGAAGTTCATTTGTAAATCAGGGACTACCTGCTAATTAAAATAAGGAAGTCCCAAAGTTAGGATTTACCTATTGTACACCTTGCATATTTAGAAATCTACTTTTATTTTCTGCACATTAAGTAGATAGTGCTCTCACTATGAACTTGTTCTAGAAAGTGGAAACTTGGTCACCGCAATAAAAGTACTGTCTTCTTATATCATACATGCCCTACACTTAGAGATGATTCACCTTCTCGCATGTGAAGATGAGCTGAACGAAATGGGACCATGTACGTTGGGGCCACTGCAACTGAGCCAGTTTTGGACTCCTAAGTGTCTGTGCATGGCTCAGCAGGCCCAAGCGACTTCAGTCGAACCTGTCTGTGGAGACCAAGTGGAAAGTCGGAAGGTCCCCAGGACGCTGCAAGCACCCGGCCTCCAATCTTTATAACTTTATAAAGGATTAACTGCTTCTCTTCAAATCTGGCTCGGTTTGCTCTGCTCAAGAGGACCACAATTGGGTCAAATTTCAAAGCTATAGCTTCAGTCCAAGTTACATAATTATCCAAGTACAAAACTTAAGTCTTTGGAAAAGGAAAATGTTTTCTGCCTGCTAAAACCCTCAACATTTGTAAAGTCAGAAGCAGCAAAAATATAACCCAAAATCACTTTGGGCTTGAATCTAAGACTTAACTTTCAGTTCAAAAGTCTGTTATCCAGAACACTATTAGCAGCTGCAAAGAGAGTCCTAATAATGGAAAGTTTCTTCAGTTAAGGTACAACTATAAAACTCAGACTGTAATACAAATGCATTTTACGTAACATCTTTTATAATTTAAAGTTTTTAAATATGAAAAAGGAATGGCTTACTCTCCATAATACAAATTCATGTATAAGACACATAATTTTTTCATTACCAGTCTACAACAGATGGTAATATTGTTATTATAATTAGGTTATAATTAATGTTTCCTGATATATACAAGTGATAATACAGTTTTAACTTATTATTACTGTAATGATTTTGATTTATTTCCTTCCCTCAAAAACTGTCAGAAATATTTAGTTTAGATGTCTGCGTTTCAAGAATGCTTAGGTTTTCATCTCATTCAAAAGTCACAGCTTCTACGTACTTCAGTTGGGAGCATCTCAAATCATAGAGACATTTAATACAGCAGTAACGCACAGTTCCCTTATTTAATCTTAGATGAAACTCATTAGACATCAGGGAGAGAGGGAGGAAATTGAAAGGGTAAGTTTACAACTCTGCTACTACCATTATTTTTTCCAAAGAAAAATGTCTGCCCCTAACAGTATACATTTCTAAGATATATTTCCTTATAGTGGATTGGCATCCCCAAATTGAAAGCCACAACTGGGAACTAAAATAGTAAGGGGACAGTATGGCATATGTCAATGAGATAAGTCAATGAGAATGTGCTCTTGGATAGATTAAATATCTTCCATTTTAAGAATCTGCAGCTGTACCTGGCTTCTATGCTCAACAGAGTTAGATTCCTTGCCGGTTTTAAGCTCCAACGGCATTATTCTACACGTAGCTTTAGACCCGCGATGTATTTTTACGCTGACTGTGACGTCAATCTTGCCCTTCAGGCCAAACCTTGGAGACCAAATGTTCTCTTCAATATCCAGAGCTTTGGTTACCTGAATCCTACAAGATGATTCATCCTTGTTTCTGTCACATAATCTGGGGAAAAAATGCATATTTCTTTAGAAGAAAATGAGAAGAAAAAATGATGACTATGCATGCAAACCAACCAGTAGGTGAACATGCCAATCTTCCTGAAAAGACTCAGCACAGCCTGGTGCAAAGACCACTGCCCTGGAAGTCAGGAGAGCTGGGATTATGTCCCAGCCAGGTGACCTGGGTAAGTCACTGGAGGCAGCAGGATGTGCATTCAGATACTGCATCAGACACCTACTTAGCTGGGGGACCCTGAGCAAATCAATTAAGCACTCCCAGCCTCAGTTTCTTCATTTGTAAAATGGATCTAGCCATGAGCAATGAATAGTTCTCTAATTTTTTGAATTTGTCGAGTTCTAAGGGGAAGCTAGGTGGTGCCACAGTGCATAAAGCAGTGGGCCTGGAGTCAGGAAGACTCATCTTCCTGAGTTCAAATCCAGCCTCAGGCACTTACTAGCTGTGTGACCCTGGACAAGTCACATAACTCTATTCACCTCAGTTTCCTTATCTGTAATGAGCTGGAGCAAGAAATGGCAAACCACTCCAGTATCCCCGCCAAGAAAACCCCAGATGGGGTCATAAAGAATCAGAAACAACAGAAGCAACTGAACAACAACAAATTTCTGTAAAGAATGTCTTATAACTGTAGTTAGCTAATTTCTACGTGTTTTGATAGATGGACTAATATCTTGTTACTTTCTGTAGACATTTGTGAATAAAAATTTATAACCTCTTCTTCCTGAGTTTTATTCATAATAAAGAAAAATTGTCATTATTTATGAGGTTTTATTTCACATACTACAACTCTGAAGTTATTAACGGTTTCGATTAATTTTTAGTTGATTCTTCTGGGTTCTCTAGAGAGACCATCATATCATCTATAAAAGCAATCGTTTTATTTCCTCAGAAATTGTTAATTCTTTCAAAAGACTGCTCCTCCTTGAAAAGATACGATTCAACACTGCTAAACACTAGAGAATCCCAACCAACGAGACAAAAAAAGGTCAGACTAGAATGGCTTTCTTACGAAGTGCAGGGCGTCTTGGGGAGGTCCACCGAAGTGGGCTTGTGCATAAAATCTTCAGCCCATTTGGAAAACGATGGAAGATAGTCTTCTATTTCTTGTTTAAATTCACCTTGTTTTAGGTTCAAGTGATACCTTTAAAAATGAGTAAGGATATGGTGAATATAAAAAGGGAAGAAAATGATAAGAACAAAGACAATGAAGAAACCAATGGAGGCAACGTAACCCCAAATCTAAGATCACACAGCCACCTCGATTCCTAGAGTAAGACTACAATGACATCTTATGATGAGGAGGTTCCCTCCATACAGCCGCTTCCATGGAAACCTAAAAGCAAGTGGTACCGCACCATGATGACAACACATGTACATGGCAACCTCCTGTGAGAAGGAGCCAGGAGGGGCTCAGGACTGCACCCTGGCCACAGAACATCTCCCCCAATGCCTTCTATACTTTCTGGGCTTCCAATCCATCTCCTATGGTTTGCTTGCCTGCATCTGCCTTTGACAATATAAAGAACTGCTCACTTTTCTCACACTAAAATACCAGACTCAATAAAAAAGAAAGAAAATGAGGATTCTAAGATGTTTAAAATACATTAAACACCTTTGAATACATTACCTATATAAAAAGAAGGGCTAAAGATGTTAAACAGTCCTCTGCAGGGTCGGTATACATAACGACAAGAAAAATAACATGTCATAGTCCTGGCCCTTTGTGGCCTTGAGATGACCCTCAGCCTCCCAGGGCCTCATGTTCCTCATCTGTAAAATGGTGACCGGAATGAGCGAGAATGAATGAAGTGAGACTTCATCTCCTGATGACACAGGATTGCGGGAAGTCCAAATGAGAGGACAGAGTGTTTGTAACAGTAAAGCACTTTACAAATGCCAACGATCATCTCAGCTCTTAATAAGGATCCAAGTTGACTCTGGGTCACTTAGCCAATCAGAGCCTTAATTGATGGGGATAAGGATACTGGCACTGCTGACCTTGCAGTGCTATTCTGCTGAGCCCTTTGCAAATGTGTGCCAGTATGATGCCAGGTGAACTGAGGACACAGTCACTCTCGTCTAGGCTTTTTCCACGCTGCCACGGTCCTAAGGGGCCAGCAGATGGCTGCAGAGTCATGATGCATAGTTGGAAACAACAGTAAAGAGGACCAAGCACATACAGCAACCTGGTTACTTCACCTGAAAAAAAGCATTGACCTCTCTGGGCCTCAGTTTCCTCCCCTGTAAAATGAGGGGACTGAACTAGAAGACCCCACACCTTCTCTAGTTCTACAACTGATGAAAGGCTGTCACTAACGTAACTACTAAATGAGAGAAGGGGCCAACTTGGACTCCAGGGGACCCCCGCATTGAAGCACCAAGTCACCTGTATGTTCAAAGTCATTTTGCATGGGAGCTGTGCTCAATTTTAGTGCACCCTTCCTGATTTTAGGCCATCACCGTGAACCTGCCTCTGTGCTCCTGAAAGCACAGGCGTGTCCCCTGCTCATCCATGCTTTTGGAGTTAGAGCCCCTTTTGGCCATCTTCCCTGAATGACAACCATCACTCTTCACAGCTCTCGGGGTACGTGCCCCCAGAACCTCTGCCCTCTTTCCAGTGCTGTACAAACTTCTCTGCCATGGGCCTGCGGCCAAGGAATACCCTGATGGGCTCTCCTCTATGGGAACACCTCTGGTGAGCCTGCTCGGCCGCTCTAGAACTTTGTTTTATTTTCTGATGCTTCTCCTGGTATTCTACACTGGGGGGATGTACAGGCATTTGTTGGGCAATATCGTATGAGCAAAATGGGGAGTGCAAAAAGCGGGACAAAAATCACAGTGTGATCCAAACGTTTTGGAGATTCCAGGAAATGTTTCCCTAATTGCCTTTTACCCTAGTTCTGATTGGTACTTACATTTCCTTCAGATGTTTTATTTCTTGAACAGTCTGCAGAGCAAGTTCCTGGAGTTTTTCTTGGGCAAAGCTGTCAGTTATCGCTTTCTGGAATATTTCGTGCAGGACTGTGCCAATCAGCATTTGGTGGGAATTGGGATCGCTGCTCTATAAAACATGGCAAATGTATTTCTGATGTGATATATGTTAAAAGACTTATTTTCAATATATAGTTATCCAAGAAATTGATGTTTTTCTAATATCAAGCAGCCAAAAGAATATGAAATATTTTCCTTCATATACTTTTCCTTCATCCCTTAATTGTTCAATAAATTCTCATGGATCTAGGATGTCTAAAGCACTAATCTTCAAAAAATTAATTTTACAGTCTACAAGAACAGACATAATTGAGAATGTTTAATACATGTATTCAAAAAAGATATTAATCAAAGCATACTATTTGCTATTTTTTTTCTTGTTTTGTTTTGTTTCCTCTTTCGGGTGGTTCCTCCTATTGGTTCTAATTCTTCCTTACAACATCAATAATGTGAAAATATGTTTAATAGGAATGTATATGTATAGCCTATATCAGATTGAGCACTCTCTTAGAGAGGGAGGGAAAGAAAAATTTAAAACTCAAAAATTTATGGAAGTGATTGTTGATAAATCAAAATAAATTAATAAAAAACAAATAAATAAATTTTAAAAAGAAAAAAAATTAGAAAAAATAATTTTATAACTATCAATAGAAGCCTTAGTAAAAAATTAAGTTTCCCTTTCTCAGAAATGCTGGTTAAGTACTATATTAACTGTTATCCTTTTTCCCTATACAATGATAAAATGGAAAATAAATATATCCAATACATCCAATCTCCAAAATTCCTTTATTACTCTGCTACTTGTTTTATAGTATAACTGTTGTGCTTCTCTAAAACAAGAAGATGAAAAGAATCCTCGGGCCAAGGAAACAAACCTCATCACACACCAACAATTAGCATTAGATTTCAGTTTATTTACCTGAGAATCCTAAGTCAGACAGGGGTTCGCAAGATGCTGCCATACCAAAAATCATCACTAGAACTAGTTTATTAAGGCCAGAATTCCTTAGTTAAGCATCCCAGACAATGAATTCGGCCTGGGCATAGTAACATTTTCTAACACACTTACCCTAAAATTTTCACTCAGAACCGCTCTTCTCATGCAACGAACGCTATTTGCTACGCTCGTGCCAGAAATCAGCATGTCTGGGTAGAGAGTCAAATATCCAAAATCTTTATCTATTATCCAAGCATCTGCTTTGTACTCTCCTTCCAAATGAATGATGTCTCCTGGCTCTATTGAAAGGTCATTCCTGCAAATAAAAATATATGACATGTAGTTGCTTCATTTGAAATGTACAAGAAAGAAGGCATAATGAGAGCTTCACCTATGAAGACGGAACATTGCTCATTTCATAGGAGTTAGAATAGCAAAAAAATGCTGCATCACTTAGTTTAAGGCTTTCATGAGACAAACAAGGAAACTGAAGCCCAGAGAGGTTAAATGAATTATCTAAGGTCATTAGGGGAGGAAGAGAAAGAGGAAGAGTCAGGATTGGAACCCAGGTTCTCCGGATCCACGAGCAACTAGGTGGTGCAGTGGACAGAGTGCTGGGCTCTAGAGACAGGAAGATTCAACCTTCTGAGTTCAAATCTGACATCAAACACTTACTAGCTGTGTGACCCTGGGCAAGTCACTTTAACCCTGTTTGCCTCAGTTTCCTCATCCCTAAAATGAGCTGGAGAAGGAAATAGCAAACCACTCCAGTATTTTTGCCAAGAACACCTCAAATGGAGTCACCAAGAGTCAGACAGGACTGAAATAACTAAATAACATCATCTGTGGCCCCAAAGCCAGGGCTCTGGTCACTGCCCCACAGTGGCCTCTTTCTGCTCATGTCTTTGTAGAACCAGATACCAATCAACATCAAGTTTTTTATAATAGTCTTCACTCTACCTGCCCCCACCTTTAAAACATACACAAATATACTCGTGGATTCCCTTCAGACATAAAGAAGTTAACTGCTTAGGCCCCAGAAATTATTAAGTATAACTGGCCACCTTGACATAATCTAATCTCAAAGCACTAAGAATGTCAGTCTTTATTATTTATTTTTCCATTGTTAAGCCTTCCAACGTTCCTCTGCCTTCCTAAAATTTTAGAAAAGGCCAGCCTAATGCAACAAGAACGAGATACAATGGCTTTCTTCAGTTCCATCTCAAACCCTGGGCACAAATCCAAGTTCAGTCTGCCCTATGCACTTGTGTAGCATTGCTCTAACTGTGAAAACAAGGGTTAAAGAATTTTAGGCAGATAAAATTAAAAGGGAAGCAGGAAACTGGGGAAAAAGTTTTACTCTAAGTCTCTCTGATAAAGACCTCATTTCTCAAATATACAGGAAACTGAGCCAAATTTATAAAGATGAGAGTCATTCCCCAATCGATAGTCAAAAGATATGAACTGGCAGTTTTCAGAAGAAGAAATCAAAGCCATCAATGGTCACTGAAAAAAATGCTCTAAATCACTAATAATTAGAGAAATGCACATTAAAACAACTCCGAGGCACCACCTCACACTTATCAGATTAGGTAACATGACAGAAAAGGAAAAGAACAAATGTTGGAGGGGATGTGGGAAAAGAGACACTGATTAATGCTTTGTTGGTGAAGTTGTGAATTGGTCCAACCTTTCTGGAGAACAATTTGGAACTACAAGCAAGGGGCTATAAAATTACGCAGACCCTTCAACCCAGCAATAGCACTACTAGATCTGTATCCCAAAGAGATCAAAGAAAAGGGAAAAGGACTTATTTGTACAAAAATATTTAGAGCAGATATTTTTATGTGGAAAAGAATTAGAAATTAAAGAGATACTCATCAACTAGGGAATGACTGAACAAGTTATGCTATATGATTGTGATGGAATACTGTAAGATATTACTGTAAGAAATGATGAAGAGGATGGTTTTAGAAAAACCTGAGAAGACTTACATGAACTGAGGTGAAATGAAGCAGAAACAGAACATTGTATACAGTAAGAGCAATATTGTAAAGATGATAACTGAAAGACTTAGCTAACTCTGATCAATACAATGATTCTAGACAATTCCAAAGGACCCATGATGAAAAATGCTATTCACCTCCAGAGAGAGAAATGAGGAGCTCTGGGTGCAGATTGATGCAGACTTTTCTCACTTTTTTTTTTTTTTTTTTGCATCATGGCTAATATAGAAATGTGACTTCACATGTATAATTGAAATTATATTGCTTGCCTTCTCAATGGGAAGGGGAGGGCCCAGAGGGGAGAGAATTTAGAACTCAAAATTAAAAAAAAAAGAAACAAGAATGTTAAAAACAAATAAATAGAATTTTTTAAAAATAATAATTTTAGGCTGAATTTCATTTTACTATTCTTAAAAACTAACATAAGGTTCACGCTACAACTAAACAGATCGAAGGTCTAGGACCAGTCAGGGGTGGGGAATCTGTAGTCTCAAGGCCACCTTGGGTGTGACCTTTTGATGAGTCCAAGTTTTATAGAACAAATCCTTTTATTAAGGGGATTTGTTCTGTGAAGTTTGGATTCAGTCAAAGGGCCACACTTGAAGACCTAGAGGGCCACGTGTGGCCTTGAGGCTGCAGGTTCCCACCCCCATTAAGCAGAAGAAGGAATAGTCATTGTGAATAGTCATTAGTACAACAATGTTCTTTGTCTTCACTCTACCATCATTCTACCTGTCCATCTGTGGACAAACTAACCTCTTTGAGCCTCAGTTTCCTCATCTATAAAATAAAGATAAAGATAAAGGTAACAATACTTGCACTGACACTCTGTTTAATCATCACAAAGTTTGAGTTATTCATTTTATTTCCTCAAATGGTTTTGGAAAGAGACCTGAGAAGCTGAGCACAAAATAAATGCAGAATCAAACCACATTCAAAACCCAGTTCATTTGTTGTCAAAGATTAATTCCCACTATTCGGCTGGACTTTAAGAAGATACCTAGAGAATGTCACATCAATTAGCATGTGTGCATATCAATTACCACTCATTCCTAAGGATGCATAGCTCTTGATCTTCCAACGACTGAGAAGCTGTTATAATTAGGTGTTTCTCTGGGTTTCCTTCATTCTGTACGACACTGACCCCCAACACCAGGTATCGATTATCTACTCCTCGTCTCAGGGTCGAATCAGGAAAGGATGTTGCCATTTTCTTCTGCAAACTTTAGAAGAAGGGACAGTGTATTAGCACAATCAAGAAACAAGAGATCATCCTCCCTGCTTCTTTTCATCTACAAACCAACCCCTCCCAGAGATCCTTTTCCACAGTTAATTCTTCTGAGAAGCTAATGTTAAAATAGGTAAAAACCAAGGTAAAAACAAGTTGACTATGTCTAAAATAACTCCCCTTCTAGAAAAACTTCTAAGATATGCAATGTGTAACCTGCTCCTCTTTTAGCTTTTCCAAATTTGTAAGCTTTAAGAGGGCTCCTTCCTCAGTCTGGCACTCAGGAGAAAGACACCATTTAAACTGAATAAGTATTGAACAACACCCAATACCACTTGAGTGAGCCCAAGGAAAACTAAGGGTAGGCATACTGCTTGGGACTATAACAGGAAAAGGCAGAGGGAGAAACTTCAGATGAGGGAAGCCAGGACAGAGAGCTACGGTCTTTGTGGAACTCAGAAAACCTTAGAATGAATCAGGATCTGGAAAACGGACCTCAGAGGCCAACCTACCCACCTCAATGCAAGAATTCATTTCTTTATGACAGCCCAGACATGTTGCCCCAATTTAAATATTCTCAATGAGCAGGAGCTCACCCTCTAACAAGGTTAAGCATTAGAAACTTCTTCATTATGTTAAGCCAAAAATTGCCTCCTAGTACCTTTGACCTACTGGGACACACAAGAGCTATCCTTCATGCACTTGAAAAGCTGTCATGTGGTACAGGGACTGGACTATTCTGTTGGCTCCCAGAAGGCAGAACCGCAGGTCACTTAGTCCAACATGGATCTGATAATGCCCAACAAATCATCATCTAGCTTTTTTCTGAATGCCTTGATTGAGAAGGCGCCCATGACTTCTACAGGTGACCTGTTCCTCTCTTAGAGCCTCTCATTGTTCGAAAAATCTTCCTAGGTTGTGCCTCTCAGCAACCTTCCCCAACTGCTCCAAGGTCTGCCCTAATCTACCCTGTAAAAAAAGGGGGAGAGGTTGTCCACCTCTTCTGACACTGGCTTGTTATAACCACTGCTTCCTTTTCGAGCTGTTCACAAACCCTCCCTTTAATAACATAACCTTGAATTTTGCCAGGGATCAAAGTAAGGCCCAGTGACCTTTGGTTTTCAGTCTCTTCTTCCCATTTGGGAAAATCAAGACATGTGCCATCTTCTAGACCTGTGACACTGCTCTCATTTCCCACAATCTTTCAAGGATCTCAGATGGTGGCTCAGCATTCGTGTCTCCCAGCTTCAGCACCCAGGGACAGGTCATTTCTGTATAGTGTGGACATAGAATCTCAATCTATCAAGAGGTGGTAGGGGCTCCTCCCTTGCTATCTTCCTACTTATTCTTGGGAATCAGCTCCCTAGTATTTGTTTCCCACTAACCTGGTTGTAGTTCAAGATCATAAGAATAGGGGGCAATAAGGGACGTGTAATTCCCACGATATACTAGAGAACACAATGTAAGGCACTGAATTGTATATAGTTTAATCCAACAATAATGCCTATTACGTAGGTGCTGCGGAGAAGAAAGATTTAAATAAAATATGATCCCTGCCAATGTAAAGCTTACAACCTCATAGTCCTACTTATTATATAGGTCAATCAAGCAACAAACAAGCATTTAAGCAACTACTATGTGCCCAACACCATTCCAGCCTCTGGAGATAAAAAGACCATAGTGAAACACCTGCTGTCCTCAAGGAGCTCATACTCTAGTGGGGGCTGGGGGACAGAATACATACATACATAAAGGTACACAAAACAAGAAAAAGGTAATCTTGGGAGGAAGGCTCCAGCAGCTAGGGGGCTCAGAAAAGGCCTGGAGACATAGGACTTGAGCAAAGCTTTGAATGAAACCAGAGATTTCTAAGAGGCTGAGATAAAGGAGGGCATTCTCAGCATGAGAGACAGCCTGTGGAAAGACACAGAGGGAGTGCCATGTTTGAAAGACAGCAAGGTGGCCACCTTGGATGGACCACAGGGTAATGAAAAAGAGGACTGGAAGGGTCAACTGGAATCAGGTTGTGAAGGGACTGAAATGCCAAACAAAGAGCTTATATTTGGTTCTCAAGGTAAGAAGGAGTTTACCGAGTATGGGGGTGAGCCGGTCAGAGATCCACTCTGGAAAATCACTTTGGCAGCTGTGTAGAGGATGGATTAGAAGAACAAGGGACTTGAGAAATGATGACCACTTAGGAGGCCATTGTAATAGTGGAGGCAAAAGGTAACAAATGGCTGAAATAGGACAGTGGTCATATAGGTGGAGAGAAGGGGAGGGTTATGAGAGACGTCGTAAAGACAGAAAAGCCAAGAGATATGGTGACTAACCGACTACATGTGAAGGAGAGCAAAGAGACGAGGATGTTTCAAAATTTTGAGTTTTTCAATAACTGGAGGACGAGGAGTGCCCTTGACAGAAATGGAGAAGTTCAGAAAAGGGGTGGCGGTTTTTTTTGGGAGGAAAGGTAATGATCTCTGTTTCGGACGTGTTGTTCAATCAGCAATGGAGATGTAGGACAAGACCAGGAAGGAGGCCAGGGATGGAGATAGCTCTAGGCCTCATCAGTAGAGACCGATCTAAGCACGTGAGAACTAATGAGGTCACTAAGGGAAACAGACCCTGGACAGGGAATAGGAAGGTGGTACAGAAGGTGATCCAGCAAAGGAGACTGAGAAGGAGCAGCCAGACAAGTAAGAGAATGGAGAGACAGCAGGGTCACAAAACCCAGAAAGGAGAAAGGATCTGAGAGAGGTTAGGGAGGAGAAGCATTAAATGAAGACCATCAAGTCATGGTCCTAAGAGGAGATGGATAAGCCTTTAACATGAATTTTCTCCTTGACCTCACCTAGAATTCTTTTGGATTTCTACTAGGCCCTGCATTTCCAAAGGTGACTTGATCAATGAATCATCCTGGTTATTCACACCTGTGCCAATTTAGCCCAAGGCCCCAAAGTCCTTCTTGTTTCACTTTCCCCAAATGATGTCTCAAGAATTTCACTGGGTTTATTCTTTTAAGGCTGGAAGCTGAATAGTAGTAATTCTGAGTTCTCCCTTGCTGAAAAAACTCAGGTTAGGAAAAGCACCGGGAAGACGCTCAGCTCTTGCAAAGGTCAGGGTATTGGCAGAATATCTGCCTCTGCTGGCAGAGGCAAAAGGAGGGAGGAATCTTGCAAATAGAATTCTGCAGAAATAACAAGGAGAGTTGTAGCTTGGGTTTGGAGAGTAAGCACTTCACAAGATATGTTCCCATTTGATCTGATGTCTGCACCCCAGAGCTTTCTCCCTACAGAAACCAACTCCAGGGAGAGGCACCATGTGAGGACTTCATGGGACAGATGCTGAAAAGAGGATCAGAGGAGGCAGAGCTAGAAGACATCTCCGATGTCACTTAGTCCAACCTTCTCATTATCCAGATGAGGAAACTGAGGCGCAGAGAGCCCAGGTAACCTGACCAATATTGTGCAGGAAGCATGCTTTCAAAGGATGGAAAAACAGGTCCTGGGACTCCTTCCGTTGCATCCTTCTGCTGCACTCTGGGCTGTCACCTTCCATAGGGAGCAGGGGAGGATTCCATCTGGCCTTCAAACAAGAGAGAACGGGGAGCCAGCTTGGCATACCACCTCGTCTCTCTGGGCTGGACTATCTACATCTCCAAAGTCCTCTGCCACTCTGAGGAGTCTATAAAATAAAGCCCACCTAAACCTCCAGAGGGAAGGTTAGCACTAGCACCACACACTGGATGCAACTCCTGTCTGGCTCCCTTTGTAACACACAGTGCCTAGAACAGCAAGGGCACACTGCAGTCTGTTAAACGCTTGATTGAGGCAGCTAGGTGGTGTAGTGGATACAGCTCTGGCCTTGGAGTCTGAAGGACCTGAGTTCAACTCCAACCTCAGACATTTGACACTTACTAGCTGTGTGACCCTGGGCAAGTCATTTAACCCTGATTGCCTCACCAAAATAAATAAATAAATAAATAAAGATGCTTGATTGAAGCTGTGGTATATGATTGTGATGGAATACTATTATGCTATAAGAAATGACAAGAAGGATGATTTCAGAAAAACCTGGATTTACATGAACTGCTGCAAAGTGAAGTGAACAGAACCAGGAGAACGTTGTACACAGTAACAGCAACATTGTACCATGATCAACTGTGAATGACTTGGTTATTGTCAGAAATACAATGATCTAAGACAACCCTAAAGGATTCATAATGAAGCTTATGATCCACGTCTAGAGAAAGAATTGATTTTGTTTGAATACAGACCAAAGCAGGCTATTTTTTACTTTCTTTCATTCTTTTTGAGTCTTTTTGTACAAAATGACTAATATGGAAATGTTTTACATGACCGCATATGTATAATCTATATCTGATCGCTTAAAAAGGAGCGTTGTGGGGGGGGAGAAGGGAAGGGAGGGATAGAATTTGGAATGCAAAACTTAAAAAAATTTTTTTAATTGTTTTAACATGTAGTTGGGGGAAAATTGTGTGTGTGTGTGTGTGTGTGTGTGTGTGTGTGTGTGTAATTTTTAAAAACCATCAAAAAATGCTTGATTGACTGCTCTGAGAGTTGGAGACCAGGTAATGGACCTCACTTGAGTATATAGCCTTGCCCATAAACACAGAAATTTAACCTCTTCTGCCAAGGCCTAAGCTCTGGGAGGCATCATCTTCAAGGAGACTCTCGGGTGGAGAGGGAGACATAGGAACACCGGTTCTGCTAGCTCTAGCACTCACAGCACTGCATGTCATTTGGTAAAGAGGAATAGAGATTTTATAAAAAAAATGCTAAAGCCGAGAAGCTACCTGTATGTACATGCAGCCACAGGGCAGCTGAGTACTACACTAAATTACTCGAAATGCCTAAAGACCTGGAGGAAGACGTCTGGCTGATAGAGCATTAAAGAAGGACTCAGAGAATCACAGCATAAGATGTCATTTTCATCAGCCCACAACAATGAGGTCCAGAAGCTTGGCGCTCATCTCATCCAACCTCCTTACTTAAAGAGGCAAATACTGAGGCCCAGAATGGAGAAGTGACTTCCTGAAGGCCAAAGAACCTCAGCCATCAGAGGTAAGTCAGAAAAAAACACTAGCTTTGGAATCAGGAAACTGCAAACAGAAGACAGTGTGGTACAATGAAAAGACAGAGATGAGCCTGGAATTGGGGACTCTGGTTCAAATCTCTGCTGTCACATGCTACCTGTCTGACTTTGGTCAGGTCCCTTTACTTCTGTGGGCCTCAGTTTCCTCAACTGTAAACTGAGGGGGGTGGATTAGGTGGCCTCTAGGGTCCCATATGGCTCTAAATCCATGACCTTATGATCTTTATCTGTAAAACGAGAAGGCCAAACAAAATAACCTCTAATAGTTCAGGCCTTCCTCACCTCTGGCCTGAACTACCGCCACAAGAGCCTCCAAGATGGTCACCAAATCTCTCTCTACCCCAACTCATTCTCCACATACAGGGTGAACTGATTTTCCTATAGAGCAGCTCTGACTAATAGTATACCCACTGCCATGGATCCTCACTGCTTCCAACTAAAAGACAAACATCTGATTGACGTTTAAATCCCTAACCAACCAGGCCTCAAACCACCCTCCTGGTCCTCTTCTGTCCGTCCATTACTCCTCCCTCCCACAGCACACCCCATCCCCCAACAGGGCAGAGCGTCCTTCACCTCCCACTCTTAGAAGCCCTCATTTCCTTCCAAGTTTTGCTTGAGCTGCCAATCTGGAGTCCATTAACTTTAAAAATATACATATTTTGATAACTGTATTTCAATACAACCGAATTAGAAGCAGCCGGAGATAGAGCACTGGGCCTGGAGCTAGGAAGCGCTGAGTTCAAATACAGCCTTACACCTAACACCTGTAGGAAGCCGAGCAAGTCACTTTACCTGTCTGCCTCAGTTTCCTCAACTGTAAAATGAGGATAATAACAGAACTTAATTCACAGAGTTTTTGTGAGGATCCAACTAGATAATGTTTGTGAAATGTTCGGCGCAGTGCCTGGCACCTGGTGGGCACTTTTCCCCACCAGTTTCCTTTGTATTTCCTCTGTACTTTCTTTTGCACATAATTGTGTCTTGTCTCAGAAAGTCTTTTTTTCCTTTCTTTGTATCGACTTTGTACAGTGCCTGGTACACGGTAGGTGCTTAATACATTATTAAAAACATTATTCTGAGAAGGGGTCCAAGACACACACACACACACACACACACACACACACACACACACACAAGACTAAAAAGGGACTGCTCTATCAACCTAAGAGCCTAGGAACTCGATCTCTCCTGCTCTCCAAGCCTTGGTTTGGCATTCAAAGCCCTTCATACCCACCCCCACCCCCACCCCCCCATCACCCAGACACACGTTTCCAGGCTCCTTCCACCTCCCACCCTTACCCCATGGCCTCCCTGCACTTGCCCCAACCAGAGCCTCCGTCTCCCGCCTCCCCCAGGTCCGGGGACCCACCCCCCCACTTGCACCCCTAGGCTTCAGGGCGTGCTCTCAGACCGCCAGGCCCAAGAAGCCTACCCCAGCCCTTTAATTCCAGGCCTTCCCTCCGGGAATGATCTCCAGGGACCCAGGGTGGTTTGCACCCGGTCTCCCGATTCGACAGTAAGCGCCCTGAGGGCAGGGCTCAGGCGCGCGGCCCCCACCCCATTCACGCATTCATTCATGCATTCATTCCCCCACTCCTTCAAGCACCCTTTCGTGCCCAGCCCGGGGCAGGGGGCCTACGGGAGCCCGGGGGGCTCAGTCCGCGCCGCCCGCGCCCGCTCTCGCGTCCGCCATTCAAATCTCCCGCTCCCTCCCGGGCCCCGCGGCTCACTGGGCGGCGGGCGCCGGCGCCTCCTCCGCGAGCGTCTTCCTCCTCAGCAGCTCCAGCTTGTCCAGCCCCGGCCCCAGCTCCATCGCTCGGCCGGCCGGGGGTGAGTGGTGGGGGACCCCGGCTGAGCCACTCGGGGCCGGCGGCGCTCCTGGGGACGCGCGGGGCCGGCAAAGCGGCTGCGCATGCGCCCGGATCCCTCCCCCCCCCTCCTCCCTCCTCCCCTTCTCCCCTCCTCCCCCAGCAGCGCGGGCGGAGCCGGGTCCCAGGCCCCTGCTGGGGTGCAGGGTCGGCTCCTGTTTAACCTTCTCCGCCTGACGAGCGGCTGCTTTACCTTCTTACGCCCTCCGCTTCCCCCCATGAACAAGAGGACAAACAACCCCCGTCACTGATGGTCCCGTGTGGTCCGGGCCTGGAGCGCGGGGCTCCCTCTGCCCCGGAGCGCGTGTCCCTGTGCGGGGCGCCGAGCTGCGGGGTCCGGCCTGCCTCCAAGCCCTGCTGCTGGCTTCTCCTGTGCCCCTGGTCAATACCAGGACCGTCATAGCGGCTGCCGTTTATCCAGCACATGGGACAAATACTACACCATCCTCACCACACACAACACACTAGGCAGGTGCTAGTATTATCATCCTCATTTTACAGATGAGTAAACTGAGGCAGACGGGTAAAGAGACTTGCTCCGGGTCGAGCAAGTAGTATCTGCGGTGGGTTTTGAACTGAAACTGTAGGTCCAAGGCTCTGTTCGATGTGCCTGAGTGGTCTCTATATTTCACTCATCATCAGTTCATTCAAGTCTTCCCAGGTACAAAACCTGTTTTGTACCCGGTAGGGGTGGACAGGGATCCCACTCCCCCCACCCCATCCCACCCCAGCCCAAAGTGTGCCCTCCAGATAGGAACCAGTCCTGGCAGGCATATCATCCCGTCCCCGATCAGTGGCTAAGAAATCCCACCATCATTTGTTGTTCAGTCGTTTTTCAGTCGTGTCCGACTCTTGGTGACCCCATTTGGGGTTTTCTTGGCAAAGATTCTCGAGTGATTTGCCATTTCCCTCTCTAGCTCATTTTACAATTGAGGAAACTGAGGCAGGCAGGGTTAAGTGACTTGCCTGGGGTCTCTATTCCCCAATAGAATGCAAACTCAAGGGCAAAGACTGTTTCCTTTTTGTCTTTGGATTTCCATGGCCCTGACCAGTGTCCTTGTTTAATATTTATTGAATGAGTGAAAACATTTATTAAAAGCCTATGTAGACAGGTAGCATAAAATCCTAAGATTTAGAGCTGGAAGAGATCTGAGAAGCCCAACTTTCTCATTTTACAGAGTTTCTTTCTCTTGTTCCAGACCACACATTCAGATGACAAAGCCCAAGTCCTCTTGACTCCAAATTAAGTATTATTTTCCTTTTTTGAAAATTTATTTAGTATTTTTTATAATTTTCCCAGGTAATGTGTAAAAACGATTTTTACATTCATTTTTAAAACTGAGTTCCAAATTCTCTCCCTTCCTCCCTACCCACCTCACCCGAACTGAGAAAGCAAGCAACTGGATATAGGTTATTCATGTGTGGTCATGGAAAACGTTCCCAAAATAGTCCTGTTGTGAAAGAAAACAAACAGAAACAAAAAATACCTCAAGAAAAATAAAGCATTCCCCAATTGATAAATGGTTAAAGGATATGAACATGCAATTTTCAGATGAAGAAATTAAAGCTATCTATAGTCATATGAAAAAATGCTCTAAATCACTATTGATTAGAGAAATGCAAATCCAAATGATTCTGAGGTACCACATCACACTTATCATATTGGCTAACATGACAAAACAGGAAAATGATAAATGTTGGAGAAGATGTGGGAAAAACAGTGGAGAAATTGGAAGATAGGGACAATTTGAGAAATCATGGCACTGTAACCCTAATCAAAAGGAATGAAAAAATACAAGAGAATGTGAAATATCTCATTGGAAAAACAACTGACCTGGAAAATAGATCCAGGAGAGAGAACTTAAAAATTATTGGACTGTCTGAAAGCCATGATCAAAAAAAGAGCATAGACATCATCTTTCAAGAAATTATCAAGGAAAACTACCCTGATATTTTAGAACCAGAGGGCAAAATAGAAATTGAAAGAATCCACCTATTACCTCCTGAAAGAGATCCCCAAAGGAAAACTCCTAGGAATATTGTAGCCAAATTCCAGAATCCCCAGGTAAAGGAGAAAATATTGCAAGCAGCCAGAAGGAAACAATTCAAGTATTGTGGAAACACAATCAGGATAACACAAGATTTAGCAGCTTCTACATTAAGGGTCAGGAGGGCATGGAGTATGATATTCCAGAGGGCAAAGGAGATAGGACTACAACCTAGAATCACCTACCCAGCAAAACTGAGTATAAACCTTCAGGGTAAAAAATGGTCATTCAATGAAACAGGGGAGTTTCAAGCATTCCTGTGGAAAAGACCAGAGCTGAATAGAAAATTTGACCTTCAAATACAAGACTCAAGTGGAACATGAAGAGGTAAACAGGAAAGAGAAATCATAAAAGACTTATTAAGATTGAACTGTTTACATTCCTGCAGGGAAAGATGATATTTGTAACTCATGAGTCCTTTGTCAGTATTAGGGTAGTAGGAGGGAAAAAAATTATATGTATGTATAGATAGATAGATAGATAGAGGGCACAGATAGATAGAGGGGTGAGTTGAAGATGAAGGGGTGATATCTGGAAAATAAAATTAAGGGATGAGAGAGGATTATACTGGGAGAAGGAGAAAGGGAGAAGTAGAAGGAGGTAAAATATCTCACATGAAACAGACAAGAAAAAACTTTTACAGTGAAGGGGAAATGGGGGAAGGTGAGAGGGAATAAGTGAATCTTATTCTCATAGGATTTGGCTTAAGGAGGGAATAACATACACAGTGGGGTATGGAAATCTATCTTACCCTACAGGAAAATAAAGGGGGAAGGGGACAAGAGAGCAGGGGGTCAATAGAGGGGAGGACAGATTGGGGAAGGGGATAATCAAAAGCAAACACTTCTGAGAAAGGACAGGGCCAAAAGAGAGAATAGAATAAATGGGGGGTAGGATAGGGTAAAGGGTAATATACTTAGTGTTTCACAACAGGACTACTGTGGAAATGTTTTGCATGACTATACATCTATAACCTGTATGGACATGCTTGCCTTTTCAATGAGGGTGGGTGGGGAGGGAGAAAGGGAGAAAATTTATAACCCAAAGCTTTAAAAACACATGTTAAAAATAAAAAAAAGGAAAAGAAAAAAATAACTCTTCCCATCCCATGGGCATATATGTACAAAGATGCATGGAATCTTCCTACAGTCAATAAATATTTAAATTCATAAAAAAAAAGAAAGTTAGTGGATAAAGATTAAATAAAGGGTTGGCATTACATAGAACAGTTTTAGAACTGTATCCAAAGACCTATAAAACATTACATACCCTTTGACCCAGCAATACCACTACTAAGTCTATATCCCAAACAAGATTAAAAAAAGGAAAATGACCTATATATACAAAAACATTTATAGCAGCTCTTTTCTGGTGGCAGAGAATTGGAAATTGAGGGGATTCCATCACTTGGTGAGTTGCTGAACAAGTTGTAGTAGATAATTGTGATCGAATACTATTGTGCTAAGAGAAATGATGAATGACATACTCTCAAGGGAAAAAACTGATGTAGAGTGAAATGAGTGGAATGAGGAGGCCATTTTACATAGTAACAACAATATTGCAAGATCATCAATTATGAATGACTTAGCTATTCTCAGCAACACCATGATCCAAGACAACTCTGAAGTAATTATGATGGAAAATGCTATTCATCCCCAGACAAATAACTGATGGAATCTGAATACTGATTAAAGCATACTTTTTAAAAAAAAATGTAACGGAATACTATTGTGCTATAAGAAATGGTGAGCAGGCAGACTTCAGAAAAACCTGGAAAGACTTGTGTGGACTGATGCTGAGTGAAGTGAGCAGAACCAGGAGTGCTGTACACAGTGGCAGCCATGTTGTGTGATGACTAACTTTGATAGACTACGCTCTTCTCAGCAATGCCAGGATCTAAGACATCTCCAAGGGACTCATGGTGGAAAGTGCTGTGCACATCCAGAGGGGGAACTGTGGAGTCTGGATACAGATCAAAGCATACTATTTGCTCTTTTTTTTTCTTCTTCTGTTTTGTTTTGTTTCTTCTTTCTTGTGGTTCCTCCTGTTGGTTCTAATTCTTCTTTATGGCATGACTAATGTAAAAATATGTTTAATAGGAATGTATATGTAGAGCCTATATCAGATTGCATGACGTCTTGGGGAGGGGGAAGGGGAAGGAGGGGGGGAAAGCTTGGCAACTCAAAATCTTTTGAGGGACAGCTAGGTGGTGCAGTGCATAGAGCTCCAGCCTTGGAGTCAGGAGGACCTGAGTTCAAATGTGGCCTCTGACACTTGACACTTAACTAGCTGTGTGACCCTGGGCAAGTCACTTAACCCTGATTGCCTCACCAATAAACAAAAACAAACAAAAAAAAAAGCTTATGGAGGTGAATGCTGAAAACTACAAATAAATTAATTAATTAAAAATAAAATTTAAAAAGTATCTGGTAGAAAGAAAAAAATAAAACTCAATATTATTAATTGATTCAAAAGAAAAAAGAAAAAGAAAGTAAAAAACTTATGCTTCAATCTGTATTAAAACACTATCAGTTCTTTCTCTGGGTATGGATAGCATTTGAACATAAGTCCTTCAGTTGTCTTGAATCACTGTACTGATGAAAATAGCTAATTCATTCACAGCTAATCATCTTAAAATATTGCTGGTACTTTGTACACAGTACATTTCACTTTGTATCAGCCCATGCAAATCTTTCCAGGTTTTTCTGAATGGATTCTGCTCATCATTTCTTATAGTACAATAGTATTGCATCACAATCATATAACCACAAATTGTTCAACCATTCCCTGAACTATCACCCTTTGGGCATAGTTCCAAATTGCTCTACAGAATAGTTGAATCCGATCACAAATCAACCAGCAGTGCATTAATGTCTCATTTTTCCCACATCCTCTTC